CTGATCCAACAAGTGGGAATAAGTATTGTTTCGCCATTGATCGCGGCGGCACCTTCACCGATGTGCTATGCATCTGTCCGGGCGGCAAGGTGCGCACCATGAAGCTGTTGTCGGAGGACCCAGAGCGGTACAGTGATGCTCCCAGGGAGGGGATTCGCCGCATACTGAAGGAGGAGACGGGGCAGGAGCTGGCTGCCTCTGGGCTGGTGGACACTTCCAAGATCGGGTGGGTGCGCATGGGCACCACGGTGGCCACGAATGCCCTTCTGGAGCGCAAGGGAGATCCCGTGGTGCTGGTTGTCAACAGCGGCTTCAGGGATCTGCTCTACATCGGCAACCAGGCGAGACCAAAAATCTTCGACCTGAACATCCGCAAGCCGGCGAATCTCTACCATTCCGTGGTCGAAGTCGATTGCCGTATTGTTCCCGAACAGGCGGATCGCTGTGAGCTGAGTAAGTGTCTACAGTCGGATTTAGGTCGCACTCTCTATAACGAAACCTCCACCAGATCACAGCTGGAAGGTGCTCGAGGGTGTGGCCAGCACTAGGTACTTGGAGGTGCAACCCGTGGATGTGGAGGCGGTGCGTGCCTCCCTGACAGCTGCCCGCGAACAGGGCGTGTCCTCTGTGGCCGTTGTGCTGGCCCACAGCTACGCTTGTCCGGAGCACGAGCTCGAGATCGGAGCCATCGCCCGCCAGCTGGGCTTCAGTCATGTGACGCTCTCCCACCAGGCCATGCCCATGTGTCGGGTGGTGGCCCGAGGCTACACGGCCTGTGCGGAGGCCTATTTGACGCCCCATGTGGACCGCTACCTGGCGAGGTGAGTGCACCTAATCTCGGTTTGTAAATTATGTCGATGAGACGGCTCTTTTTCGGACTCAAACAAACCAGCTAAGACTCCATAAAGATAACAAAGCCACAACACCCAGTCCAAAAACCAAACAATCAACAGTTGTTTTCAGAATATAAACACAACACTTGGGTGAGCAGGAGTTAAAGGTACGACTAGAAGTTACCCATTACTGGGAAACCATAAAATAAACCATCGTGATCGATTTCTTTGCTGCACAGAACATTTCATGTGTACTCAACTTTCACAACATCCACAATATAATGGATCGTTCTCTAGATCCGGTTATATGTAGTTCCTATTCTAGACTTATATTTGCCAGTCAGGAACTACCACACAATATACCCTTCTACACTATGAATTCAATGGTATCGAAAGAACGGCCACACTGAGATCGTCGATGTTCCAGCTGATTCCCAATTCTTCTTCTTCATTGACGCTTCCCTTCATCCACAGCTTCAAATCTGGCTTTGACAACCAACTGGATGGAGTGGATGTGCTTTTCATGCAGTCCGATGGCGGGCTGACAAACATGGAGAACTTCCGCGGAGCACGCGCCATCCTCTCTGGCCCGGCTGGCGGTGTGGTGGGCTACGCCCTGACCGGATCGCGGGAAACTAAGCTGCCGTTGATTGGCTTTGACATGGGCGGAACCTCAACGGATGTGTCCAGGTATGCGGACAGCTACGAGCACGTGATCGAGAGCACAACTGCGGGCGTGACGATTCAGGCGCCACAGCTGGACATAAACACTGTGGCAGCGGGAGGAGGATCGCGGCTGTTTTTCCGCTCCGGAATCTTTGTCGTGGGCCCAGAATCTGCGGGGTCGCATCCTGGACCCGCCTGCTACAAGAAGGGAGGTCCCCTCACCGTCACGGATGCCAATCTGATTCTGGGACGCATCCTGCCGCAATACTTTCCCAAGATCTTTGGGCCGACGGAGAGCGAGCCGCTGGACTATGAGATCTCGAAGAGCAAGTTCATCCAGCTGCAGTCGGAGATCAACAGCCACTTGAAGGCCACTGGAGATGAGAGGCACCTGAGCGTTGAGCAAGTTGCTCTGGGATTCATTCGGGTGGCCAACGAGACCATGTGTAGGCCCATTCGTGCCCTGACGCAGTCGCGTGGCTTGGACACGGCCAACCATGTGCTGTCATGCTTCGGTGGAGCCGGAGGACAACACGCCTGCGCCATTGCCAGCAATCTGGGAATTGCCAAGGTGAGTCCTTTCATGGAGCAAATATAAACGCAGACTATGACTCCCTAGTGACTCCGCTCCAGGTTGTTGTCCACAAGTACGCTGGTATACTCTCGGCCTACGGCATGGCCCTGGCCGACGTTGTCCAGGAGTTGCAGGAACCGAGTGGTTTGGAGTTCAGCGATGGGAATGGCCAGCAGCTGAAGGAGCGACTGGATGCCTTGTCCCAGCAGTGTCGAGCCAAGCTGGCGGACCAAGGATTCCGGAGAATCGAGCTGGAGCCCTTTCTCCATTTGCGCTACGAGGGCACCGATGGCGCCTTGATGTGTGCTCCGACAGGTGCAAAGGATTCGACGGCTCAGTCGCCTCTTTTGTCAGCCTATGGTGACTTCCATGCCACTTTCCTGGAGCGCTATCGCACGGAGTTTGGCTTCGTGCTGCAGAACAGGCGCATCATCGTGGATGACATCCGTATTCGTGGAATGGGCAAAAACGAGACGCCTCCCGAGTCCGAGATCAAGCGTAGCTCAGAGATCACACCCCCTGCTGAGGGTACTTCGCGTATTCACTTCGATCAAGGCAGCTTTGATGCGCCAATCTACCTGACCAGAAACCTTTTGGCTGGCCACCAGATAGCCGGACCTGCAGTGCTGATCGATCAGCTGTCCACTATTATCGTGGAGCCAGAGTGCGGTGTCCAGGTGACAGCCTTCGGAGACCTGATAATGGATGTGAAGACGGGTGGCAAGCACGGCATCAACGCAGAGCTAGATCCGGTCCACCTAAGCATCTTCAGCCACCGCTTCATGAGCATTGCCGAGCAGATGGGACGTGTGCTGCAGCGCACCTCCATCTCGACGAACATCAAGGAGCGCCTGGACTTCTCCTGTGCGCTCTTCGGCCCGGACGGTGGACTGGTCAGCAACGCACCCCATATTCCGGTTCACCTGGGCGCCATGCAGGAGACGGTGCAGTACCAGCTGCGCGTGCGCGGCGAGACCCTGAAAAATGGCGACGTCATTCTGGCAAATCATCCGTCCGCCGGTGGGTCGCATCTGCCCGACTTGACGGTCATCACCCCAGTGTTCTACGAGTGAGTAGTCTCTGATCGCATCTGCGGAACTCCCCCACTTAACTCCTTACCTCTGCAGGGGTGTGTCACGACCAGTTTTCTTTGTTGCTTCGCGTGGACATCATGCAGATATAGGTGGCATTACGCCCGGATCCATGCCGCCGCACTCCACATCGTTGGCACAAGAGGGTGCCGCTTTCAAGTCATTCCTGATCGTGGAGAGTGGACTGTTCCAGGAGCAGCAGATTATCGAGCGCCTGACCACGCCCACAGCAGCCAAGGGAGCCGTGGGCACCCGAAATCTAAGTGACAATCTGTCCGATCTGAAGGCCCAAATCGCAGCAAACCACAAGGGCATCCAGCTGGTGTCGGAGCTCATCGACAGCTATGGCCTGAATGTGGTCCAAGCCTACATGTCGCACATCCAGAAGAACGCCGAGCTAGCAGTGCGCGACATGCTACGTCAGATTGGGCGGGATTCGCTGGCTCGCACTGGATCCACGGTGCTGCAAGCCCAGGAGTTCATGGACGATGGCTCGCCCATCACTCTGAAGGTTACCATTGATGCGGAGCAGGGCTCGGCCCTCTGCGACTTCACTGGCTCCGGAGTGGAGGTCTGGGGCAACTGTAATGCCCCACGGGCGATCACGCTCTCGGCTCTGATCTACTGCCTACGCTGCATGGTGGGCCACGATGTGCCCCTGAATCAAGGTTGCCTGGCGCCTATTCAGGTTATTATCCCCAAGAACTCCATACTGGATCCATCGGAAGGGGCCGCCGTTGTTGGTGGCAATGTCCAGACCTCTCAGCGCATTGTGGACACCGTGCTGAAAGCCTTCCGCGTCTGTGGCGCCTCCCAGGGCTGCATGAACAACATCACCATCGGAGACGAGACCTGGGGCTACTATGAGACCGTAGCTGGAGGTGCAGGTGCCGGTCCCGGCTGGCATGGCGCCGGCGGAGTACATACGCACATGACGAACACGCGGATCACCGACCCAGAGATTTTGGAGCTTCGCTACCCTATGATCCTGAAGCGCTTCTGCCTGCGCACCGACGGCTCTGGTGGACGCGGCCAATTTAATGGCGGAGAGGGCGTGGAGCGTGACTTGCTCTTCCGTAAGCCCGTTACATTGTCCGTCCTGACAGAGCGCCGCACCCTTCAGCCTTATGGGCTGGCTGGCGGTGAGCCCGCAAAGAGCGGACGAAATTTAATCATCAAGCGCGACGGCAGAGTGATCGCCCTGGCTGGAAAGACGTGCATCGATGTGGATGCTGGGGTGAGTTTCGCAAATTTCAATTTCTGCTCTCTTTCTAATCGACTCCCTGGTAGGATACATTTGCAATGAAGACTCCTGGCGGTGGTGGTTATGGACACAGAAGCGATTCGTCGAAAACCGAAGGATCCTCGGACCAGGAGAACGACAAACGATTTGTGGAACGGGGCACTGTTTTCAACTACCTTCAGGCTCAAGAGTCTGCCTAAGCTACGGCTAATGCATTGTTATTATTTCTTATTTGTTATTCCATAAAATATTGAATAAACGAAGTTTTTAAATTAACCGCTAAGAAATCAGGGATGATATTCGAGTTTTTCGATTTCTTTTGCGTGAGTTTTGTTGCATTTATTTAACAACACAATGAGATTTACTGTATTTAATAAACAATACATCTTAGCAATACTTCCATACTATAGAAAATTGATTCATCAATCGGTTAAAATTATAGTTTTAGGGATGAGAGTCCTAAATAGCTATTAATTTTAAACAGACTATCAAAATCGTGCAATATGATTGATTCAAGTGTGTTCGATGGACTCGGATTCGGTATATTCATAGTTTTTTTTTTGAGGGTCAGGTATATTTCGATAGTATTCGATAAACCCGCGGTCACACTGAACCTAGCACATTTTACCAATTATTGACTATTTTAAAGGATTTCCCTGTAATAATTATATAACAATATGAACAACCTGAGGATAGCCACAATGCGATTCGCCAGCATGGCCACCAAGGCTACTGGATCCCTGGGAAAGCGCGACTTCACTAGGAGTCTGTGGCACATGACAAAGAAGCCGGTGACGGGAGCATCAAATGATCATGTAACCGTCTTGAATGTCCACAAACCCAGCATTAGTTGCACCTGTGGATGCAATGTGCACACCAAAGGTATGTTTTAATTGAAGAAAAGCTGATAGTGAGTGAAACATGCCGCATGTTACATAACCTCAAAAGCGAGATGATGAAATGGGAGACAAAAAGTAATGAAATTGTCTATCTATAGCTGAGAAAGAGCTGGTGGAGTGCCTGGCCGAGGAGATCGTGGCCGAGCGCAAAGTGCAGAAGGGAAAGACCGTTGCCAGCACCCTGGATGGATTCAACGTGAAGATTGTGGGCGGCGAAGTGGAGCTCATCAAGGAGACCGACAAGGAGAAGGTCGTGATTAGCTTCAATGTGAACCATACGGTCGACTCTGAGGACGAGCCAGAGATCAATCCCAATGCGGACAAGCCGGAGCTGGGTGAAATGAGAAGCAAGCCCCAGTTTGAGGTGGATATCATTAAGAGCGGCACCACGCTCTCGTTCACGTGTTCCTACCTTCAGGGCGAGGCCCAAGAGGGAGAGTACAGTACGTCTACGAAATTGAACCTAATAATTAGAATCTATAATTGATTTGCGTTCCTTTGCAGACGACGTGTTCTCCATTGACGAAATGTCCATATTTGAGGGCGAATGGAACGACAAAGTCTATGCCGTGGCTGGCGATGTTTTGGACGGCTATCTATACGATTTGCTTTTGAACTACCTGGAAGAGAAGGGAATAAGCCAAGAGTTCGCAGAGAAGCTGTCCGACCTGGCCACTGCCCATGAACACACCTCCTACATCGGACTTCTGGAGAAGCTCTCCAAATTCACAGCGGGTGGCAAGTAAATGCCTGGATTGCATTTTTCCCCGCCTAATCGTAAAGCAGAAAGTTGAGTAGATTTATAAGTTCCATCGTCTGCTGCAGCAGTTCATAACTAAACACATTTTGTATCTTGCGTGTTTGTAGTCGATTGCGGCAGTTGTCCTAGTTAATAAGTTCAAACCATTTATTCACTCTTGATGTCGGGCGGGCAAAGCTATTACCAATCTTTACCACTCGTGGCAATTGCTTAATGCTCGACTTCATGAAATACAGAAAATAGTGTATAGTTAAGTTTTCAATCAAATGTTTATTTTTGCGGTTTTCGGTTAAGCGTAGGGATTGGATGGACGCGATCTAGGCTCCGAGTCCCATGGCCTGTGCCCTCCAAAGTCCTCGTGGTTTTTGCAGGCTGCGCAGATGACCAGAGCCATCATCACGAGTATTGGCAGCAGCTTCATATTGATTGTTGTGCAGGAAACTTTTGATTGTGAGCTGAAGCTGTGAGAGACGCTCTTTATATGCATTGATGAGGCTGTTATCAGCATTTAGGTCTTTCCCCCATGGGAAGTACTCGACCTGTTTGTCCAAGTCAACCATACTCTGGGATTCCCAATGGACCAATTTATCAGATAAGGCAGCCTATGAAAGGTGGGGCACGGTATATGTATATGTATGTACAAACTTTAATTCATGCATAAATGTAACAACTGTGGCTGGTTTATACTTTTCAACTTAATTTTTAACTAATATATGCTACTTTATTTAATTAATAATCAATTTTTGGGCTATTGTAGGAGCTTCTTCTGGTTCGCACACTTGTCCTTGCACCTGGCCGAGACCTAGGCCGAACCCCTGCGATTGCGTGGGCGCTGATGGCCAAGGCTTTGCCCCTCAAGGCTGATTGCAGAATCAAATCCGTAGACAGGCTGTGGTACTTGCGTCATTGGTCAACTCTTGCTCTGCTTTTTCCCACTGGAACTGCCGGTGTTCTCGTACTCCGAATTCGTGGTGTACTCCGTGTCGATTTCCCGCAACTCTATATTCTGCTCCCTCATGGCGCGCTACAGGGCGAAGGTCAGGACACACGTTATCAGGTGATGAAATAGTACCAACTACCCACCTTCACACAATCCTGATAGACCCGGAAAATCGGAGCGCATGCAGATTCATCTGTGTGGCCCTTCAGAAACCGCTCCGAGAACCAACCGTTGAAGCAAGCGTCATACTGTTTCTTCAGCTCATTGCAGTCCTCGCCAATGCTGTTCATTTTGAAAGTTTAACTTATAATTTACAGATGTTAAATAATATTGTCGAAAAAAAATGTGAGTGTACTGCGGTCACACTACGACACGCATGTGAGTGTGTTTTTAGGGATGGAACAGAACCGCACATCGATATCTGCAGTTAAATAATCGCAGTCGAAAGGTTTTCTATTCGTTTGTCTTTTGAATACATTTCCAATAAACCATTTCCTTTGCCTTTGGTTTTAAAAACACACCAACACGTCGTTTCGTTCTTTCTTTTTATGGTTTTTAAGTTATCCATTACAGGCTGATACAAAATGCTATTATCAATTACGGTTCTTTAACTAATGAGCGCTAAAACAAATTCTTTTGGGACTTGACAACAACAGAGGCAATGATGGCGGATTAGAGCAGACCTCCGACTCAGTTGGAGAACTGAATCGGAGGCCTGGCTGCAGCTAACATCAAGAGTTGTCCATGACCATTCCATTTTAATAGTTTTGAAGTGTTACAAATTTGTTCTGTTCGCCCACAGAGGATGAGGATAGCCGGCTTCGCGTCTACTCCTCGTCGATGGTTTGGACTTGCTGTTGTTGCTGCTGTTGTTGGTTCTTGTGATGTCCACGCTGGTTGCGGTTGCGCTGATTGCGATTGTCCCGTCGCTGGCCGCCCCAGTTGCCGCCCTGGTTGTTCTGGTTGCGATTGTAGCCGCGGTCTCCGCGATTGCCCATGTTGCCGCGCTGGAAGAAGTTGCCCTGCTTCATATCGAAGACCTTCTCATTGACGTCCACCAGGTTGGTCACCTTGTCGACAAACTGCATGGCCAGGGCCTGCAGGCGGGAGGGCTCCGAGCGATGCATGACCACAGTTTCCGAGGGATCGTCGAGGCTGGCCATCAGCTCCTCGTTGATGATCATCTTGCTGATGATCGAGTGGACCTTCGGGACGGGCAGCTCGTACATCTGAGCCAGGGATGGTATGCTTATGGAAGTGTAGACATTGGAGTAGGTGAACAGGTATGTCCGCAGCGACTCCTCCTTGATGAACTTGACAAGCATCTCACGCACGCGATCCGACTCGTAGAACAGATCCCACACCTTGGTGTTCATTTTCTTGTTGACAATGAAGTTGGCGCAGGCCTGCCAGTTGCCACAGCGCATCGCCTTGGCGGCGGCCACCACGTGCTCCCTCATGGATTCAGGGGGACCCACCAGGGACTGACGCTCCGAGGAGCGCAACTGCTGGTAGAACGTCTTGCTGATCATGCGGCGGCGGGCATCGAACTCGTGCGCAGCGATGTAGGGAATCTCCAGGAGCATGGCGGACACCAGATACACACACTCGAGCAGCTCCAGATTGATGTGCATGTGGAATGGCATCTGGCGCTGTTTCTCAATCTTCTCCTGCTCAGCGGAGCGTTCGTGCTGACGTTGTGGCAGTAGGCCCTGAGCCAGAAGCTCCTTGGGCTTGCCGGTGACCATCAAGTCCACCAGACAGTGATGGGCATCCTTCACATTCTCCTGACGGAAGGCGCACAGACCCAAGTTGGCCATCATGCGGTTGTACAGGATGCGCGTGGCGGGATCAGCGGCATCGATGTTGTCCTGCAGGTGAGACATGAGGACCAGATCGCGCGCCTGGAACCAATTGTCGTGCATGGCATGGTGATAGATGTGCGCCAGGATAGCTCGAGTTCTGATACGATCGGTGTCGTCCTTGGCATAAATGTACTTGCACAGTTTATCCATCACGTCCACCGAGGTGGCTGTGGTGGCCGGCACCTCGCCACGCTTCTTCTTCAGCACCTCCGGATCGAATTTGTAGTACAAGTGCTCGATCTTTCTCAAGTAGATCCTGCAGCGCTCGTTGGGGTTGCCGCATTGCTCGAAGTACTGAAGGACCAACTCAATCGTCTTCACCACGTTCATCTCGTCCTTCAAGCGGGACACATAATCGTTCGAATGAGGATCGCACTCCTTCAGCAGCTTGGTGAACTCGTCATCCAGACGCTCGACGGCGGCCAATGGACAACCGCGGATGTAGAACGGAGCCACTGTGTATTCCTCGTGCTCCTCGGCGACGCTCTCGCTTATGCTGATGTCGGGATTGGCCAGAAGCAGCTTCATCATGCTCTGCATCACCTCCAGCAGCAGGGCCCAGTGCTCCATCTTCATGGGCTCGGAAATCTTTTGATTGTAATCAAAAATGGCAGAGATTATGTTGAAGTGGATCTTCACCGAGACGGGAACGCCCAGATTGTGCTGATCGGAGATGTCCCTCAGCTCGAAGAGCAGATCGATTTGGAGGCGACGATCGGTGCGCTTCTTGCCACGTGCCGACATAATCTCCACTAGCTTAGCCAGCACCAAGGGAATATCGATCTCGGCGTCCTTTTCAAACATCTTGGGCTTCTCCACGACATGACCCTTGACAACCGTCTCCCATTCGCCATCTTCGTCGTCTTCGGCACGCTTGCGGATCTTCAGCTTCTGCTCCTTGCGCTTATCCTTACGCTTCTCCTCATCTCCTATCTTGTCTTCTCCCTTCTCAGTGGATCTCTTAAGGAAACGCTCACGCATATTCTGGTACTGGTTCTCGTCCTCGGAAGACTCGGTTTCACTCTCCGTATCAGAGTCCCAATCAATGGAATCGTCTGAGTCCTCATCGTCGGCGGGTACCACCTTGGCAGGGGCAGATTTGGCGAGCTTGGGAGCGGTCACCGACAGCTCCTTCTTGAATCCCACATCGCTGTCATCAGCTGCATCACCCGCGTCGCTCACATGGGCCTCTTCGTCTTCAGCTTCACTCTCCTGGTCGGGTGCTTCGCGGAAGCGCGACAAGTCCTCCTCAAAGTCCTTGATGTACTTGCGCACCTTTTGGCGCAATGTGCCCAACGACTTGGTGTTGTTCTTGGACAGATTCCTACGGCCCTCGCGGTCCTCCCAGATCTCGTTGATGAAATCCTCCAGTTCCGCCAAGCAGCGAATGTAGAAACGCGGCGTAATGCCATTTTCCTCCTTCGAAATGACGGGCAGGGCCTTTGTGTAGGCCCGCGTCAGATCCTCAAAGCTGCTCAAGGTATTGGGTATATCCTTGATCTTCTTGTGGTTGCGGATGGTCTTGATGATACTGGTTAAGTTCTCGTAACGCTTCTCCTTGGTGGAGCGAACCACGCGCTTGACTTCCTCCTCATCATCGCTGAATTGCTAGGGGGTGGGGGTGGGTATGATTAAGATTTTGCCACAATTTGCTTCCTCTTCTACTTACAAAGGCGGAGGCTTTGTTGAGGTTTGGCGCTTGGACCTCCTCCTCGCTGGACTCGGATTCCGAGTCGGAACCGTTGGCAAAGAAACGTGACATATTGTTTAGTTTCTACTCGAGCCGGTTTGTCTGCACTGCACCTGGAATGACAATATTTTAATATTTAATATCACAGCGCCACATAATTTCGTATGATGTTGAGGTTATGTATAAGCGGCCAACATGGCGTTTTGCAAAAAACTGCACGCCACAAATTTAGCAGCCAATGTGTAAGCCTATGTAAAACTTCAATTTAATTCACCGGCGGCACACTTTTCGCTCGTCTTGCAACTATTTAGAACTGCCGAAAACCATGTTAAATCAAATAAACTTACTATTTTTACAGCAAAAAACGATTTCGATGCCTGCGCACCAGTGTGACCGTGGATTAAAAGGCAAATTAACCAGCTGGCCGTCAAAAACATACCGATGTATACTTTTTCTTGTGCAAAATATACCGTATATAATATACTGTATATAAATATTCAGTGCATGATATTCGTCAATTTTTATTTTCGATGTAATATAACAAGCTTACCAAGACCCTCAGCACTGCACTTTTAACTTATATATACCATATATACTATATGTATAGTGTATACTATATATACTATATGGTGAGTGGCTCATCTCTAAGGAAGCCGATATCGATAAGACAAAGTGAATCTGCGGGATGCTCTCACAAAAAAACGTATTTTTGGATGACTAAAGATATCTGTCCATAGCAGCAGTTGGCAACATGCTCTTTGCGCTAGCCGTTAAGTCCAATACATGCTGCTCATGTCATTCCAGGCTTTTCCGGGCAACTGACACGGTTTGGTGTAGCCCAAAGAACCCTTGCAATTTGGCTAATCGAAATCATCGAGAACAAAGCCATACAATTGGCTTACTATTAATTCGACAGCTCAACAATATTTAAATTAAAATTTCAAACTGGCCGGGAATGGAAATCAGTGGCAACATTACAGCCCGCAGCTTGTTGCGGCGCAGGCGTGCTCCGTACTACCGGCATTTCAGAAACAAACAAGTTCCAGTTCCCGAAAGTCCATTGCCAATTTGGCGCCCATTCAATCCTCGGATCATGTTGTATGCGCGTAAGTGTGTTGGCCCCAACAGCCAGCCAGCCAGCCAGCCAAACGCTTTCGCGCGCGCCAACAAGTCGCATGCGTTTCCTCTGCTCGGACAGTTTAAAACGAAGCCAATTTGTGCGGAAAATATACTTGATTGAAATTTGTGCCAAAGTTGCCATGAGCTCGGGCGTTGAGGCCAATATCCGGTTGATACGATTCAAGTGCTAAACTGAATTGAATCAATTTATTGAATTCTGACGCCGTGTAAACAAAATTTTGGCCAAAGTGCTGAGCGTGTTCGTGCTCGTGTTTCCCCACTTAACATTACGTTCTTCCGTATCCTGTCTGCGAGTGCCACCATGGGGGAGCTTCGCGCGCGTGTGTCTGCTTAAAACACGGAAAACACTTTTACGCCGATGTAAGCATAATTAATAAAGATGGCAAATTGAGGTAAGTGTAAGAGTGCATTATCCGCGGTGTCGGAAATGATTAAATTATAAATTGATCAGTTAATTCCGCTCGTGTAATCACTTGTGACGCCTCTGACAGCTGACATTTCAGTACCCATTATCCTGGAAATTGCTGAAACAGGAAGCTGAAAGAAGTCATAAAACAATCATGTTCTTGTCCGTTCTGGTGGCTCTGTTTCGCTTTCCGGTTCGCTTCGGCATGTGTTTATTCCGTTTCCGCCTTTCGTTGTTTTTGGAATCTGGCTCTATAAATCGCGTGGGCTGGCATATGAAAACTATCCTTAGAAATTTGCATCTTTGTGCAATTTTTCTTATTGATTGGATAGCTGAAGCGGTTCCTTATGGAGAAGTGCAGTCGGAGTCCTTGCAACTGCCATAAAAATTGCAGGGAAAACAAGTTTATATCTCACTCTAAGACCCCAAGGCCATTAATGTTTGAGTGAAGCCACAGTTTCGGAGGGAAGAATCTTGTGTTCGTGTTTTATTTTGGGTCTCGGTAACACCCTTTTCATGCTGCCAGCCAGACCACAAGCCAACACCCCAGAGAAGAACTCCCAAGCCCAAGTTAATGAAAAGAAAAGAGGGTAAACCGAAACAACACAAGCTCCGGCAACTTGAAAATGCACAGAAAAAAAGAGGAGAGAAATATGCATGGGGGCAGGAACGGGTTGCCAGGGGCATGGGGTATGGAAAATGGAAAATGGGACACGACACTAAAATGTGAGTGCAGGGAGGGCATGGCGCGTGCCATTTATTGGCCTTTGGCAGCACGGTCTCACGGTCTCACGGCCAGAGGCAATGACCATTAACCAGAGCTACAAGATCATGGTGGAATCTCAATGGTTTATGGCGCTTCTTTCAGCCCCCAACAGCACCCACCACACTAAGAATAATATTGGCTAATCACATGCTCTAGCGTAATATAAACGAGGGCGTGCTTCATGACACGATCCATCTACCAGTCTGTCGAATTCAAATCTGTTTACAATTAACGGACGCGACAGCAAAACAATATAAAAAGAAATATAAACAAAGAGCCTGCAAACCATGCAAATTGATCAAATCCCAACCATCCGCACATACACATTGCTATTGGGGCAGCCTATATTTAGCTCTGTGTTTCGTGGATTTTGTTATCTTTTGGACGCCTATAATAACTAACAAATTTACCTTGCCAACATTTTGCAGAAGCAAATGAGAAGCGTAAAATCACATCACCCCTACACACCCAGCCAGCCATCATCAGCAGCAAAAGTTCAATTAAAGACAAAGTTTTCATAGTATAATGTAATGGTAAACGCCGGCAAAACGGGCTTAAATTTATTGTTCGAGTGAACAAATCCTCGCAGAGATAAGGAGCACAAACCCTGGCTACCTTTGCAGCCTGGCCATAAAAAGTTCATCCCTGGAAACATGTTTATTACACGATATTTATGCCACTGATTTATGTTTGGCAAATGCCACCCCCTTCCGACACACAATGATGTGATATGCATCTTTGGGGCTCCTCCTTTGGCCTAGTTTATGCATAAAATGCTGCCTTTTTGTTTGGCTAATTTACAGTCAATAGGAATCCGATATGGAGCAATCCTTAGTCATGGCATATCGCCACACCCACAAAACAACACACACAGTCGCTCCCTCTCCCTCTCTCTTGCCTTCATCTCTCTGGGCCGCATTACAGCGGCTAAGACAAACTAATTTGGCCACGCTAATATGTACGAATGACAGTCGTTTAATTTCTATGAGTCATAAATTTTTATAATCCACATTCGTGGGGTCTCGCGCGTGTGCTGCCTGACTGCTGCTGCTGCACACACAATTGTGGGTCGGAGCTGAAAGTCTGGCAACAAACAAGTGCAGCTAATTAGCAGGAAAACAGTGAACAGTTTTCACATTTTAATCAAGGGAACTGGATCGAACTTTAACTAAAATGAAACTTTAATTGAAATGTAAGGGAGTGAACGCCAAGCGCCCCAAGACTCTTCAGTTTTCTAGTTGTAGCTACTTTTATTTCTCTCTTTTAGTTTGATAAAGTTTGTTCGTGTGTGAGCTTCGTTTAACCAAACAAAACACGTCGTCAAATAATTGTGTTTGCCTGACACTTCAAGTGTGGAATTCATTACTCGACGGACGGGCTTATCCCCCCCACTTGATGGCAAAAATCATCCAAAAACCAATCACCACAAAACACCCAAGTAATGATGCGAAACTTGTCAAGTGTTCTGCTCCTTTGTCTTTCCGCTTTTTCGACTTTGTTGGCAGGTCCTGTCCGTTGCAAGGGATGATGGGACACAATTGTGCTGGCCATTGTTGTCCAACTTTGATTTAAATCTCTTGCCCCAGCAATATTGCTTTGTTTCTGCAAATGGCAAATGAATTAATTGAGAAAGTTCAAAGAGAGAGGAACAAAGTAAGGTTCATTCATTCGTATATATTTATTACAGTTATTATTCCCATAGCACAAATGGGGAAAGCGCTTTCTCCAGCTGCAAATAAAAAAGCATCAGCAGGACTCCTTGAACTCTCCTTCAACTTCCGCTGTGCAAGCTTTCATTGTCTTCACAGAGATTGCTACCCAAAGCCTCAGTGTGAGAATGATTCGTTGTCGACAGAGTGGCACGTGCCAGTGGAGGGGATTGGGAAAAGTATTGTTTTGCCCTGCGGCAAATGACGTCTGCAGAAAACTCATCCCGATGATGCGGCAGATACATTTGACTGCTGCAGTTGGCCTTCCTCTGCAAAAGTATACTATTATTTACAGGGCAGGCCTGGATAGGCCAGGCCAGGCCGATATGCAATTAGCATTATGTATTAACTTTTGCGTAACACGAAACCGCTGGGTTGGCCTCGAGCAAAGCTTCAATATTGAATGGGAGAATATTTTTCTCCTGCTTTTGTCCTTGGCGGTTCTATTTTACTCACTTTGCTGTGGATTCCATCTCATTAATTAAATAACTCGTAAGTGAGTCAGACGTGGCGAATATTGCACTTTGGCCTTTGGCAAAACGCTTTTGATAAGCGTCCCGCCCTCGAAATTAATTGAAATGTCAGGCAAGCAACACTACTCGTGGTATGAGCTGTGCTGCAGAGGCTTCTGGCACTTGTCTTGGCTCTCAGCTCAAACTAATTTATCGCTTGGTGTTGCCACCAAATTTAGATGCACGCAAAAGTTTGATTGGCATCTCCCGCCGAGCATAATCCTCCAAAGCTCCTCCAGTAATCCTTCAACTTGGGTTGGCAAAAGCGAGCTGGAAAGTTCGCGAACGGAAACTCATTATTGAAACTGGAGCCATAACTAATTAGTGACTTAAATGATTGGGTTTTATTTCTTTAATTGCACAGACGGTAGTCTGAATCAGAGGAGGATGATTAAAATTCCATAGACTTCAAGGAATTCCAACGTCTAATTCATAAACTAAAGTCAAATCGCTCTTCCCACCCTCACTTTTCACACGTTTAATGAGCTCGCCGAGGGGCATCGGCTCCTCACCGTTAGCACCTCATGTCAGCTGTCATGTAATTCAATACAAGTCGACACCCCCAGAGCCCAGCAACGCCCCCAAGCCAGCACCAGCACCAGCAGCACCAGCAGGAGCAGCACCCAACCAATTAACTGGGGGCCATTGTGCACAAAATGGCTCGTGACGGGACCAAAGACAAAGCTGCTGGTGCGGGTGGTGCGGGTGGTGCGGGTGGTGCGGGTGGTGGTGGGGGGAGACAAATTACAAAATGAAAATGATATATGTGCTGATGTCCACAGGCCTCTGGAATGGGATGGCAGTGAGGCAGAAGTGCGGCCATCTAACAAATTTATGTGCCGAGGCGTCGGCGATGGCAGGGGCAGGGGTGCGCAAACTGTTGCCTGACTGATGAAGCCGAGCCAAGCCAAGCCGACTGATGATGCTGATCCGAGAAATGTGTCAACAAACTACGTCCAAAATACAGAGGATGAAAATGAAGAGCTTCGAGGCGAATGCTGCTGAATTATGCAAATTGCTGCCATTTAAGTTCTGTTCTGCTTCATCTTGGCAAACATAATGAAAGGAGGACTGAGAAAAAAGGCCAGAGCCTCAAAGCAGAAAAACACCAAAATTGCCAGCATGTGAAAAATGGAAAGAAAATCGCGTGAAAGCAATCCCTAACAGGTTTTCGGGTACTTGTGCTATTGCAAGCAAAATTCCATAATACCCAGCGAGTTATTCTATGACTGCAGATAGGGCATCAATCTGTGTTAATGGCCAAACCATTTAAAGTTCCAGTCTTGTCTCCTTACTCCCTTGTTGTGTTTTTGTGTGTTGTCTTTTAAATTGTCACCCGCAACAGCAATCGAATTACTTTTGTCCAGTCGAGAACCATTACTTGAGTACATAAATCAAGTGTCGGGGCACTTCATTTGTACGACCCAACGAGCGCCACAAAGAAAAGGAAAGAACAACCAAAGCGGGATAGTTCCTGGCAGTGGCAGGACCGGATTGCTACTAGAACTTACTACGGAGCGAAATGTACGAAAGCAAATAAACTGCAATGAAATAATGCAGTCTGACGTGATCATTCTGACGAATGATTTAATTAAATCATCAGACAAGAGAAACAAACACACAATAAATAATGTTGCTCTAAATATACGAGTATATTAAAAACGCCAAAATAAATGTATTTCATGCTCGTACACAAATTCGTAGAGAATTGTTTCTTCTTTTTGTTGTGAAAATCAAATTGCTGGCAACTGTTGCGTGATGGAAACTAATATGCCATGCCATGCTGAAGTTTTTATATTCACACTCCTAGAAGTTGGCAGACAATTTGCAATGGCTTTGTGGGAAAACTAACCATCTATTTCAACACACAACATGCACTTTAATTGAGCCCAAACGAGGGGCCAGAACGCCATCTAATTCCGATGCCAGTGCTCGTAGAATGTTCCTGCCTGGTTATTAAATTTGCCATGCGGCTACGGGCATGTACTATATATGCATGCAATTTAAAGTTTTTGCCGCATTGATTGAGCAGGGGGGGGGCCATTTTTCCCCTACGAGCTCTAATAATAGGTCCAAGGCAATTTGCGTTGACAATCGATTTTAGTTGTTGTTTCGTTCTGGGCCTACAGCCGAAAGAATTTCATAAAGAAATTGCCTTGGGCGATAATTTATCTGGATAATGACAATCAAAATTGTTCCGCCGATCCAAGCCATCGTTTAAATTCTTCCTCTAGGCCTGCCTGCCTGCCAGCGCGGGGGACACACAGAAAAAAAAAACACACAAAAATAAGCTGGAAAAAAAATGAAATGGAATGCGGAGGCGATGTTAAACGTATAATATTAAATATAACTATGACAATGTATTTTAATGGTTTGAGCGGAGCTTAAATTTGATTTTTTTATGGCTCGTTCCTTTCCTTAGTGGTTGGCCTACGCTCGAGCATCCCGGTACTTGGGGGCTACTACCATTCTACTACTTCTTAAACAGGGCACTGGATTCCATTTGAATTGCCTTTAAGCTCAGAGACAAGAAATGAACAGCGGAAAGAGTCATTTAAATTAAATGAAATTCATATTTATATTCATTGGATTTCTGAAATGACAAACGAATGGCAATTTTGTGAAAGCTTTTCACAGTTTTTCAATTTTGTTGTCGTGAAAAATGATAATCGTATTTGTATTGCTCTTTCATTATTTTTTAGTAAATAACGTAAGAGTGGGGCCCATTTTTTGTTTGTAGCATACAACCTGGCGCTTGCCGCGTATTCAATTACATGCGGCAAAACAAATGGCCCTCGCAAATCTTTTGCCAAAGCCTGTCGCCCCAGTCCCAGTCCCCCCAGTTTTTGGTATTGCTATTATGTTGTGTAGGTAACGCATATTTCATAAAACAAAATTCCCCTTCACTGCGCACAGTGGGAAGTGGTAAAGGGCAGCACCCAGGACCCTGCCCGCGTTATTTATTCCAAAAATGGGTGCCACACCCACGACAATTTCCCGAACATTTGCAGGCGACTTAACTGCATTTATTATGAGACGCACTAAGTCCCAAAACGACTGACAGATAAGATTTCGCTACTGTTCTGTTCTGTTCTGTGTGTGGCTACTGTTTGCCAAATTGTTAAGATAAAAGTACTGCCCCCGGGCAGCGGGGCAGCGGGCTTTAAGTGGCGTTGTGTCCCCAGCTGAACAACTGATAAATTGCATTGATTTATCAAATGTACTTCCCAGCTATACACTCGCAAACATCATCGCACGCAGAGAAGACCAAAAGGTATTCTAGAGTGCAAAATGTTTAAATCTTTTGGGTGCAAAATCGATTTATATAATTCTTAAGTCTGACTGATTTTAGGTGCAAGGTTCCAGCATCCCTCAACTGCATGCCATCCATTATGATCTGTAAAGGGTATCCAAAAGGGCGAGCACTCTCATTGCAAGTCCATGGATATTTGACATCCAGATGGTCACCAGATAAGCGGACCCTCTGCAGGCCATCTCCTCTGTCATAAATCACAACAGTTTTTCTCTTTGGCTGCTTCGTTTTTTGTTTTGGTTTATTTTGGTTGTAAGCCAGTTATTGATATGGGCTAACAGGTTTACTTGTCAACCTAATGGCAGGCCGACAAACCGAAAATAGCTCCATTTTCGTTGGAATTGGAATTATGAATGTATTTCCATTGTATTTACGCCACACACACACACACATCTCATATTCGATGGACTTTAAACGCAATAATTAATCACAAGGTCCCGACAATGTCAAAAATTCAATTAGCTAATTGTACTACAAGTGTAACTGCACTTTTGCACTCCTTCCCTGACATAATTCTGTTAACAAGTTAGTAACGGGCCAAGGGGCAAGCAGAAGAGTGCACAAACAGGGCGAAAGTTGTTGACATTTTAGACAGTTTCGGCTTTGGCATGTCGGGGCGCAACTTCTATCGGCACAGCACTTGGAATCACTTAATTAATTCGCCTTTGTTCTGGAACTTCATTTACATTTTGGCCATTTTAGTCGTTACAGCAGACGCTGTGTACATTCGCAGTTGGCAGCCAACACAACAAGGAACTTGATTTCATATTGCCACAATTTGTTGGCTTGACTCAAAGCCATACAAATAATTAATTTGAAAATTAAAGGCGTGGGTACAAAGGTCAACAGATGCTCCTCTCGATTATGGTTTCAACTGGATAGAACCGATCAAGTGAACGGTACACATTAATGGCTGCTAGATTTATTATTACTTTGTCATTAACAATGATATGATATGGTCCAATTAGTCACGAGCTAATTGTTGCCATCAATTCATTAAAAATCAATTTTATCATTAAATTGCCACATGAAGCAGCAGGCACAAATGGCACTCAAAACTGGAACTCATTGTAGTAGTTCAGAGAACTTCAACTACTTGCATAGTGGTACATGGGTGTACATTGTATTTTGTGGAAAACTGAAAACTTTGTCCTCGCTTGCTTACCTTAAAGATGGGGGAATGGAGGTATTCAAGGCAACGATAAAGTTGTGCCAAGTTGCGGAGCTCATCCTGCAAAAGTCTGCACACTGAGCTGTGCGAAAGGATCGTAATGGAATTTCTAGTTTCTCAGGTAATTCTAATTTTAATTTGAAGTCGTTTGCCGGGTGCAAAGGTTGCGTTTAATCGAAACTAAATGGAATAGTTCAACCATCATTGCTATCATCGAATATCTCTTGCAGTTGAATAAACCCATGAAATTGCCACAAAAGGAGACACTTTTCTCACGCACTTTCACCTCTCTGGGAATCCAGAATCCAAGTGCGAGTATTTTGCATATCTGAGAGGTCGACGCCACTTTGTGGCTGCTTCTGGTTTATGCAAAACAACAAAACGCATTCATACGGGTCTCTTTCTTTTTCCATAACACTTTCAATGGCAGGACGGCTCCATGCACTTTGACAATGGAAGTGCAAAACTCACCTGCTTGGGCAAAGGAAATGGCAGACCATTCATATTTTTAGTGCAAAAAAATGACAGGGCGGACAGTCGGCCAAAGGAAGCGCAGAGATTTCAATTACGCCGAGTTTCCTTACCCGCTTGATCATGTGGTCCAGGACCAGCTTCTGGTGGCAGCCATTGAAGTTTTCTGGGGCGTCAGTTACGTTTTATGAGTCACTGTCTGTGGGCGTCTGTGTGTGGTTAATGGCTGGAAATGTAATGACAGGATATGCATTCCTTGGAGTGGCAGACGAGCCGCGAGTCCCCCACGTCCCGTCCATAAATCTGTAACTTAAAGCTTTGCCAGTCATTTGGCAGCTCAGAGCATCTCCCAGATGCTTCTCCTCTTTGGCTCTTGGCTTTAATTGAAGATTTAAGCTTGCATGCGAATGAATTTTGTTCACAAAAAGAGAATGCCAAATTCGGAAGCCAAGGGAAAGGAAAACATGGCGAAGCTGAGCGCTTTACGGATGCCCAAGGAGATTAGCAAGAGTGTCCAATCTGACGGAAGAGTGGAAATGTGTCTGCAATGTGATTATCCTCGTTCCAGTTACCCAACATTGCATTTGTTTTTCTGTGTTCAGCGAAATGATTAGTTTCGGAATCAAATTTCCACGGCTTAGTAAATATTTAACTATTTTAAAACCTGCTAAAATTAAACCCACACTTTTAAACAATGACTCTGAAAACCATAAGAATCGAAAGCCGTTTAATTGAATTTTCAGGAATATCAACAGCAAAATCACATGAATGCTTTTTATGGTACAAATACATTTGTTGTTCTGTTTGCAGAAAGACTAGCATCGCATCGAATGCAGAGATCTGTGCAACATGCAACAACCAGCGAAGAGCAACGAGCCGTGCCATGAAATAAATTAATCTTTTATGCTTAAACAAATCCGCTTTTTCCTGTCGAGCAAGAGACAACATTGAACGGAGCACAATCGTACGGAGTCAGCAAAATAGCTAGCGGGAGGATATCCGGAGATTCCCCAATGATAGCCAACCTGGTCAACGTCATTAGCAGCATCGACATCGAGATGAACTCGGGCATAAACACGGACCAGCAGCATAGGACTCTTGACATTGACGGGGGGTCGACGTCGACTCCGCTGAACGTCACGCAAGCTCTCTGGGAGCTGGCCGTGGCAACGGCCACTGGGATGCCACTCGTCGAAGGCCTTGGCAATGGCAGCGGCGTGCCGGTGACCGAGACCCCCTATGTGCCGTACGGCAGGCGGCCGGAGACCTACATTGTGCCCATCCTCTTTGCCCTGATCTTTGTGGTTGGCGTCCTGGGCAATGGAACTCTGATTGTGGTCTTCCTGAGTGTGCGTCAGATGCGGAATGTTCCAAACACGTGAGTCCCGTAATAGTAAAACTTTGAATACCCTGCAAATGGAGAGTGGATGTCCTCCCCTGTGCACGGTATTTGCATGACCTAAACAGACATCTTTACATACAAAAGACAGTGAAAGCTCATAAAGTGAGCCAAAGAGCTGTTTGCATAAGTTGGAATTAGATCCTGAAGCGATTACAGGGCATCAACGTGTCCACGCTCTCGTCGCTAGGCTTGTTGGAAAATGAGTTTTTGATTTATGCGAAACTTAAATTGAATTTAATTATACGAGCATGCTGAGCAATGGACCAAAGTGTGCGCCAAATTATGCATGCAAAGGAGAGAGTGTCACGAGTTTCCGCAAAAGTTATCCGCCAGCCTCTGGGGCCACATACGCCAACCGCAACGTGGCTATCCATCAGTTAATTAAGTGGTGGGCTGTTGTAGGAGGACAGACGCAGGGATGATAATGAAAATGTTGTTACCGCCTCCTGCCAGAATTTACTTAAAGTTCCCCTACACAATCGGAATCGATTGGCAGCTGTTGAAACATTCGCACAGAGAAACAGAATGGGACACTCATATTTTTCCCCCTCCCCCCCCACTGGCAACTAATTAGTCATGTCTGTGATGTGTGGGTGTGTGTGGGTAGGGTGAATTTTAGTACTGCATAAATTGTGGGTCATAAATCAAGTTATTGTGCCCTTGTGCCTAGGAGACAAATATGATTTTCAGACGATGACCTTATGTTGCCTGGTTTTGGGGGAGACCAGTGTAAGTGGCAGCAGGAGACTATATGGGGGAAACTAGTGTAGGAAGTGAGAGTGCGAGAGGGATAAGAATTGAGTCTTAAAGAGCAAACGAAGATAAGTAACTGTTTAAGCACAGTCGTGTGGCTCAGACTGTTGGCATGTGTATGTAGTAGTAGGATACCAGCTGGATACTATGAGGATGCGGTGGAGTGTACGAGAGTGATGAAGAGTAAACGAAGTAACAGTGGTGTCCCTCAGCAAGAGTGTAGTGTATGTATAAACACATACATACATACATACGAGAATGTGAAGGCTGGAGACTGTACGAAAGAGCAAGAAATGGGATTATGGAAACATCAAAGTAACTGTTTAGGCAGATTTGCTGAAAAAAATACTTTAAATTCACTTAAAAAAGCTTAGGCCAGCTGTGGCGTGGCCAATTAAAATATTCCACCTTGTTGGTGGAGATACTCTTAAGAGCGCATGTACTCTACCTCTAAGAGAGCCGCCACTTGTAATGGAACAGTTACTGAAGCGCACACACGCCCGAGCACTCCACTCAAATTAAGTTGGCTAGGAATGGAAACTGACCTTATGAATTTACTACAAACTAATCAACGAAGGAGGAATGGAATGAAATGATGGAAAAACATATTTGAAATAAGCCAAAGCCATGCCACGTACACAGTCCTGGGCACGATAAACATGCTGCATGGCACTCTTCAGTTCAGCCAAAGTCTAAAGGAAATGTCAACTGATCAAATTACGCTGAAATTGCATTTCGTAGTCAGGCGGCAGACCCCTTTCGAACCAACACGGGGACTTTAAATGCCAGACCAGACCGAATCAGACCCTTATCGGCTTGGGCGCTCGCAGCCACAGAAAAAGTAATTTGGTGTTGCATTTCCGGCAGCGAACGTGGCAAACAAAGTGCCACATGCAGCTTATTTATGGTAACCGGAGTGGTTGGATAAAAGCGAAATTACGATATGAGATCACGGACCGAATTGCCACCATGCGCAATTTATTTGCTGTCACTGTGAGAGACGAGAGTTTAAGTGTGCCGTAGCCCTTTTGGGAATGCTAAAAGATAACTGTGCTTAACTCTCAAGTCTCTCTTACTCCTACTTTCCATCTCAGCTGCGAAAGAGCATGTAGGCACATGACACCCTTCTCTACTGCTTGCTTAAGCGTCCATTCGCATTTTAAGAGAGAGAGAGAGAGAGAAACTTATTTAGACTCTGTTCTTATATCGGCTTAATAAAGCTTTAAGTTTATAAATCATTTTAAAGGTCATTGCACTGGGCCCAAGTCAGCGACAACTGTCTCGCAAAAATTTGCCTAAAACTTCGGCAACATAAATCAACGATGCGCAGAATTTGTATCACACTGGAAGGAGCACGTGCTGGAAGACTTTTGTCTGCCACGCAAAAGTCAGCCTGCTTATCTCTCGCAGTAAAGCATAAATCTATTAGGGAGCCGCCTTGGCACGACATTACATTTTAAACGTACATAAATTGTCTCTTCCAGCTATATACTTTCGCTGGCCCTGGCGGATCTGTTGGTCATCATAACCACAGTGCCATTGGCCTCCACCGTCTACACCGTTGAGTACTGGCCCTATGGCAGCTTCTTGTGCAGTGTGTCAGAGTTCATGAAGGATGTATCGATTGGTGTGTCGGTATTCACACTGACAGCCCTCTCCGGTGATCGGTACTTTGCCATTGTCGATCCATTGCGAAAGTTTCACGCACATGGTAAGAAATCAATAAGAAAATGTCTGAGTGGAATACAACATCTCTTTGATTCTCCTTCCAGGAGGCGGAAGACGGGCCACGCGGATGACCTTGGCCATAGCTGTCTCCATTTGGCTCTTGGCCATTATATGCGGTCTGCCAGCCCTCATCGGAAGCTATCTCAAGGCACGTTTCGCACGTTTTATAATCCGCAACTCGTAAAATTAATTTCACTTTTGCGACTCTTGCAGCATGTTCAACTTACCAAGGAAAAGGCAATTGACATCTGTTATCCCTACCCGGATACTTGGGGCATAGACTATGCCAAGACAATGGTTCTGTTGCACTTCCTGGTCTACTATGCCATCCCGTTGGTGATTATAGCCGTATTCTATGTGCTGATTGCTCTGCACCTGATGTACACGGCGAGTGTTCCTGGCGAAATTCAGGGAGCTGTCCGACAGGTGAGTAGGCAAAACCTTTATAAATACTCTCGAATGGTGGGAAAACATTCCCGAGCCTTTTCCAACTTAAGTGGCATTAAATATTTATACCAAAATGGCCAAAGTAATGATTTTTTCTTTGCGTTAAACTCAGTTGATAAGGGAAATACCATGGAGGGTTGTTTGTTTTAATTTCCATTATTCCGAAGAGTATGCCCAGAAAGATCTCCTCTCGAAATAGTTTGGAAATCCCCATCCATATTATTAGTCCCTCAAGACTCCCACTCTCTCTCTGTCTCTCTTTGGCGATGAATTTACATATGACATACATGTTACGGAATTGTGGGTCACACGAATTAGATGGAACCTCGGCTGATGCTTTAACAGAATATAACAATGTTCGCCCATTCTTTTTGTTGCAGGTTCGAGCCCGTCGCAAAGTCGCCGTGACTGTGCTGGCATTTGTTGTCATCTTTGGCATTTGCTTTTTGCCCTACCACGTCTTCTTCCTTTGGTTCTACTACTGGTGAGTGCTTTTATGAACTGTGAAAGGGATTTGTGCGAAGCTGCTGGGGAGCTGCTCATGAATGCATGGATGGAAGAGTCAATTTGTCATGCGGATAAAAAGGAACCTGCTAGCAGCCCGTGCCTGGGACACAGGGATGTTGCTGACGATGGGACCTGCGGATGAGTAATGTTGTTGCCATTTGTTCGACACTTGTTCGCATCGACAGTGGCGGTGGGTGTGGGACAATCAATTTCAACGCTGATATCTCCATTACCAGTCGATGCTCTTGGTGCTCACGTGTGCGTGTCTATATTTACTTGCAGGCCCACTGCCCAGGATGATTACAATGCATACTGGCATGTCCTGCGCATCGCCGCCTACTGCATGTCCTTCGCCAACAGCTGTGCCAACCCGGTGGCCCTCTACTTTGTGAGCGGCGCCTTTCGCAAGCATTTCAATAGGTACTTGTTCATTCACATCACTCCACCACCACCACCACAACCAGCAGCATGACAGCATGCCCAAACGATTACCAATAACCCGGTAACGATTACGATAACAAACCAATAGATAACTGTAAACCAGTAAACCAGTAAACCAGTAACGTAACTGTAAGCGTAAGACAACTGCAATTTGTATCCCTTAAACCAAAAACAAAACTCAAACCCCAACGATACCAAAACCCAAACCCACAGAACCAAACGAAACTTGAAACGTCGCTCTTGCTTGCACACCACAACCACAAATGGGAATCACATACATATCATATCATATCATATCGTATTTTATCACATGTACACCCATAGCTGGGACGACACTTGACTTGAGTTTGAATCGGTTTTTTATTCGTTCGTTTTCAGTTGGCTTAACCATTGATTTGTTATTTGGTTTTGATTTTCAATTCAGCTACCATGGGAAATGTTTATTTTTGATATTTCTTTATTCTTTTATATCTTTATCCTTTGAAGAGCTCTTTAAGGTGAACATCCTTGACCCTTAGCCTTCGAAATTAGTTGTATCAATTGATAAAACTTCACACAGTTGGGTCAAGTACTTTCAATTACATTTTCATGTCCGCCAAAGTATTCCTTTTTATGTTATTCAACATTTATTGCCAATGTAATCAACATTACCAGTGACCATTCAACCACTGATGACCAAACCAGATTGCCGTCAGATTTCGTTACTTTTTTATGCATTTACTTCCACGGACACGCCCACTCATACTCACACACACACACACATGCATACATACACTGCCAGAGACACACTCTCCGAGAAAAGTACAATACCTTCCGTTTGGTGGCGACTCTATTGCATTCTCATTGGGACATCTCCTGCAGATATCTGTTTTGTCGCGGTGCGAACGGACACCGCAAGAAGCGGAACCAAGCCAACGACACATTCTGCATGCACCGGGACACCTCGTTGACCAGCACCGCTTCGAAGCGCTATCAGTCGCGGCATTCCTGCTATCAAAGCACCATCCGCAGGTGAGTGTCCATCCATGCCCTTTGGCCCACGCACGCCCCAAAAGTCAGTAATCTCACCCTCGTTTTTGACAGCTCCCGGCTGCAGGAGACAACGATAGCCACGCTGCCGAATGGCGCCCCAATTTCAGCCGTGGATCTGACCACTCACACTGAGGTGGCGCCGGGCTATGAATTTACGCCGCTGAACGAGTATGGACAGCGGACAAAGCCACCCAGGCAGCAGCAGTCGCTATTGAATTGAAGTACCAGCACAATGCAGCCAAAAAGTTAGTTTTTAAGGGAGTTTACAGGCAGGCAGTCAGGCAGGACCCGAATCACCTGATTGGCAAATTAACAAAATAAGCTAACAGCTAAATTAAAAAAAATATATATACTCTAGCTAAGATTTCGATTTAATTTAGCTTTACTTTTCAGTTATTCCTGAAGCTAACTAACGTCTTCTCGCAGTAGAATTTAGGCTCCTCATCAGTTTCAAAGTAAGCCACAGAAAAAGTTGCACTAAAACAAAGTTGGTGACCTCCTCGAATTGTATATACTTCCTACACAAACACCAGCGTAGTTATGTATTCGTTTTCTATGTGTCTAGTCATAGGGTTGAGCCCTAACGTAAACTGTGTCTGTTCCAAACTAAAGTATTACAGCCGTGTGCACGGCGTTAAGCGAAACAATTTAACAGAGACATATTTCAAAATGTGTGGTAATACGCCATGTTATATGTTACATTTAAATCGAATCACAGTGACTTTGTAAATATGTTTGTATGTGCCAGAAATCAGTTATAAAATAAATGTAAATTGTGCGTTGAGAAACAGTTCTTCCGTTTTATTTGCCACTGTCACTGGCAGCCCACTCTCTCGGCTGTCATTTGAAAGAAGATGCGTGGGTATAACTGGAACCACAACAAGGTTTTATGCCATGAAAAAGTCATGGAAATTTATGGGAAATTAAATTACTCAGACCATCCTGTGTAGCAGCTTGCAGACAACTTTAAGCACCGCACCCCCTGAGCAAAAACTTTTGGTCATACGAATAAACGCAAAGCAGCGCAGGCCGGTCGTGACCCAAAAAGAGAAAAGGGAAACAACTCCTTGTGGGATGTTTTTTTTTGTCGGTTCTGCATGGGACAGGCCCGCAGATTAATTGGTTTGGCCGCAAGCAGAAAAGGTGGAGTCGCCATAATCTAGTGTTCGCATCGCAACAGTCCCACCACAAATTGCAGGCCCTTCTGAAAGTTCGTTGCTCGGGTTTTTTATTCGTTTGACTTTCTGCCATTCTATTAAAAACCGATTGGATCTGGGATGGGAAAAAGTTCTGGAATATGTCAAAAAGTCAGCCGTTACTCGGGTTTCAGCCAAAAGAGATTGACGTCAAGAGTATAGATAGATGCATGACTTTTTGCTTACAAAAAATCTACTTCATTGTTCGTGCAAAAAATATTGTAAACCTAATGGATGTATTTATTAGGCTTCGCACTTTAAGCTCAGTAAAGTCAAACCGTGGACTCCTTCTATAAATAGCAGCAAATCCACCTCGGAAAATCACGCCCGTTTCCTGAATCAATTTCCTTTGGGCACGGCACTGTGGTGCCCGTAAGTCCCAATGAAATGTGCCATCAAATCAATAAGCTTAAATCGGACGCACATTAACGGCGATGGCATTTTTTGTTGCCTTGCGGGCTGGTGGTGTTTTCGAGCGAGACAGTTGCAGAAATTAAATTAACCCATGAACATGTCGAACGCGTCGGGAGTACGTTGATCTGTCAGCTACGTGATGAGGTTATGCCTGTGTCTGTCCTGCGATTGCGTTGGTTGCATGTCCCTGCCCATCATCCGAACATCGTGAGAGGTCCTGTCTTATCGCTGCCTTGGCAACCACCCACAGATTAAACACATATATAAATAAATGTCTTTTATTTGTTATTCCATTTTTCTCTTCCCTTTGGACGGCTCACTTTTAATAAACCATCATGGGTATGCTGCCACTCGGCGGAGCGGCATTTCAGCGACTGCGTCAAGTTGTCATCAAGCCAAGTCGAGGCGTGCTTATCCCGGCTTTATTAACTGTCCAAAGTGTTTGTCGTTCCTTGTGCGGTTCCCAGGACAGACCCTTCAGCTTTCATTTTGTGTCTTCTTGTGGCGCCCCGCGTTTTTGTGGTCTCAAATATCAAGTTTATTTTTGTTATTGTGATTATTTTGATATTTTTATATTTTGTCTGGCGGAAATTCTATTTGTGCCACTCTTGCAAAATAACCGTTGGTCTAATTAGCAATCGCCTGCTCGATAAAATGGCAACGGGTTTTCGTTGCTTTATTGGACATTTGGTTGGATGATTCAAGATGTTGTGGTTTGAAAGTTTGTACTTTGCACTTTTGGACCAATTAATATACAGAAATATTCGCAGTAATTTGAATTCCTTATTAGATCTAGATTAGATTTAGATAGAGCCTTGGACTTATTTGGCCTGATGGACTCGAAGACGGACTAAGAGAAAAAGAGGGGAGCAAAAGGAAACCGAAAACAAAAACCGGATTTAATTTGATTACTGCAAATTTAATGGTTCATCAGCTTCGATTATACTTACATTATTTATTTAGCCAATTAAGAGAGCCCTAAGAGAGTGAATTAAGTTAAGCGACTGTTAATATTCATTTAAGTAGCGGCCCACGCCCATGCGCCTCGCCGCCAAGTGACACTTGAAAACCACAAAAACAAATTCAAGCACGTACAAGGTGCTAAAGCTAAGGGAGAAAGTGAGAGTGGGAGAGTGAGAATAAGAATGAGAGAGGTGAGACAGGGGCCATAATGAGAAATGGAACAACACGGAACACACGCACACCAAGAAAAACAAAAGGCAAAGACAAACACAACATGAAAAGCAATAACAATAATAATGCTAGGCTAAAGCCATATAAAACATACATATATCTACTTGAGAGAGGGCAGAGTGAGCCTAGACAAGTAGGTGGAGCCAAGACATGTTAAATAGATGGTAAGGCAGTCTACTCAAGGCTGCAGGCATATTCGCGGAAGCTGTACAAAGTATCTGAATGACGCGGGAGAGCGAGCTAATGGCAAACATGACATGTGCCTCACCTTCCACTAAACATTTCTTGGGGGGGGGGGGGGGAGCGGTAGCGGAAAGGCAGCTAGCTGGAGCATGAGATTTAGGAGGAGGGGGTTAATGGAGAATTGTTGGCGTGGTAAATAAATAAAACGATTTGAGACGCACACAAAGACACAAATGTAAGCACGGTCCTCGAGGTGCAAAGCACAGCAGCAGCTTAACAACATTCCAATTTTGTTGTGCTTTGTGTGGGAAGGGGGAGGGCAGTGAGGAGGGCGGTCTGAGTCAATGATTCGTGGAGACGGCGTGACGAAGAGTCGTGGCCTAATCGTAAATTGCTCTGAGTAGGACTAATCTACACACATGCACACGCATTAGGCACATAAAAATTGGCACTCAATAGGCCGGAGGGCACTCTTGTGTCTCGAACACACACGTTTTTAATCTCTGTGTGTGAGTCAGACATATGCATGAGAGTATACCGTTACAAAGGGTATAATGATTTTTTCCATATATTTGCAATGCAGAGAAGGTCGTTACAGTCGTGTCCTTTTAAAGAGATTACCATTCAATGTATACTGCCATGGGAATGATGTTTCCACAAGGGTATCAAATGTCTCGGCGTACAATGATAGCCCTCGCTTGTTACTTTCTTATGTAGGCGTTTTGTCGCCCGACTTTGTGGGTGACGGCATCGTCTGGGACACGAGAGCCGGCTCCTGGTTTGATGCCCCTGACAGCTGGCTATGCATTTTAAATGCCTAAATTGGATCAGAGTAATGGAAAATATACTTATGGCAATATGCTAAACATTTACAATCCCTATTAGGGTCTACAAGATTTGGGAAACTATATTTCTCGACTTGTGTGTGAGATATTGTCATTACAAACTTAACACTTGAGCACAAATCTAATCAACTTTGACCTTAGAAATTATTCAACACTGAAAATTGTTCCCTCATCCTGCACATCCTGCTTAGATATTTCCTCAACGTATGCCACAACATTTTACGATTCTCATTTTATCACCCTGGAAGAGAAACAGAAGCCAAAACTCACCACCTGCTGATTTATATTTAGCTAAAATTATACAACCGTGCCAGGACCTCCTACACCCCTCCCTCCTAATCTCTGGCTAGAATATCGTCACTCGTATATTATCGGCCACTCGACCGGGTCGACTCATCTGACTTAACGTTCTCCGCCTGGCCAACGCTGGCATTTCGGCTCTGCCAAAATATTTTAGGCATTTACAACTTGATACCCAATGGTCTAGTGGCAGGCAGTGCAGTGGCCCTTTAAGCCCCTTTTGGGAGCAATCACAGCTGGCGGTTGGCAAACACCACAAGCCGCAAGAGCCAGGCCCCATCCATTGGCAGCGTGTAATCCTAGAGCTTGAAGATGGGAGGGTGCGGAGCAACGACTTTCTTGCCAACTAATTGCTGGAGAAGCAGGGAAAACCTCCGATATCTGACACCATATGAGCTGGCTCCATCATTAGCCGAGCGGGAATGGGTAGAGGGAGCCGCACCTGCCAGTTGAGTGACATCAAGCATGCAGCCTCGTCTGACATCTAATTAAGGCACCAAATAATTTCAGCAAGAGGCAGACCAGACAACGGATACTAAGCAATTAAATATTTAAAGTCTCCAGGTTCAATTGATGGAAACCACATCCACATGCCACATCCCACACAAGTCCCCACTTAAAGTGAAGGCGCTGATTCCGGCTTACGAGTAAATAAAGTTTAGAGAGCATAAAAAGAAGAGGAAATAAGTGGCACGTGTTAGTTTTGGTTTGAGTTTTGGACCCGCATCACCAACTGAGTGGCACTCATCCTGCTTACAGCACACATGAGGCATCGGCCTTCGGCCCTCCGGCACTTGAGCAAATAGTAAAAAAGGACATTCGCTCGAATTGTCACATTCGTGGTGCCTCGATTTATGCATTTGCCTACAGACAAAGGAATATCGATAAAGATGTCAAAACGTTCATTTTAAGATTTCTTTGTTAGCTTGCCAAAGGTCAAATGCCTTTAATATCCACATCATTACGATACGACACGATTATTTGTCTTTACAAAATGTTGAAGAGATTTCTGTGCTAACTTTAATTATACATTTGCACGTATTTGACGTGTACTTATCCGAGTGAATTCTAATTTTATGATCTGCAGACACTTATTTAATTAATATTCCCTTTCAATTTCAATTTTTTGTCAGACTCGGAACAACTTTTCTCGCTATCCCAACAGCAAAAGGCGTCCAAATGGTGAAACTTTTGAGACCCTGATAGAATAAATCTTTTTTCCGATTCGCTGATTTTATTTGTTGGCTGTTGTGTGGGATAAAGGGCCAGACGGGCTGGCAGAATGGGGCACAAACCCTTTTCAATCAAATTAGCTCCAGTCAGTGGAGCAATTCCATCACTGGAAGCTGATGAAAATTCTCGACTTTCAGGCCTCCAGAATTGAAAAAATAACTGCCAAAGTTGACTTAAAACAAAAGAAATCGATCAAGATTGTATATCTATTCAAAACTATACAAACTGGAGCTACCAATCGATGCCAATTGCGGATACTTTATTGCAGGAAATATCAAATAATATTATTATCCCAATGTCCCCTATTGAGTTATTGAGTTCAAACTTGACAGTTTCTGCCATGAGGAAGTTTGTCTTCTAGTTTAGAGTGGATAAACGGATAGGATGCATGTCTAGAGTATTCTCGATGAAAGTTGCAGGATGGTTTGACATTGTTGCCAAAATAGAACGACAGACGCGGAAGAGTTTGATGGGTCAGCATCCCCTGCCAAATCATTGGTCGTTCATTTATCAGCGGGGCACACAGGAAGCGGCAATGGGCTGGGTAAGGAATCCGCCCCGCAACAGCTGCAACGATGAAAAGTTCGAATTGCTTTGCTTCTCGACAAGATGCCCACAAAGTTGTAAGCCAACATCCAAGTTTTACTTGCAATTGAAAAGCTGGAGCTCAGAGTGCGGCCAAGTTTTCGTTTTGGTTTCCGTTTCCGGTCGGTTGCATGCAAAAATAATGACAAATCACTGTCTGAATTGTGTGCTAAGTACGTGTTTGTGCTCTCCTCTGGGTCCTCTCTATTCTTTCTGGTTCTCGAACCGTTTCTCAAGCACTTGAGTTATGAAATTTGAATGGTAAACACACACATGTGCGCTTTGAACGGCATCACGTTTTGAGGGCATGTTTGCTGGGTCCAGGGACACAAATTCACAAATGCATGGAACCCGGGAACAAAGTAAATCGGCTGACATAATGGTCTATGTATAAATATCAAATATTTATCTGTGGAACATTTATGTTCCCTGCCTATTTATAAACTCTGTTTTAAAAATGATGTCAATCATCTCTGGATGTACGTTGCACGCATCATAAACGTAATAGCCAATGTTCGGACAGCTAAAGAAGACTCAACTGCTTCGCTCGCCACAGGAAGAAATGTACCCAATGCGCTTTCCGCTTGAGTGCTTCAGCATGGCTTCTGTACGTCAGTGGGTAAAAGGACAGACTATACGACTCAAACCCAAAAGTAATAATATAAAAAAGAAAGTCGAAAATTCGGTGCCAAAAAATACTATTCTTGTGCGCAAATAATCCACTCACAAAATAGATTTCCTTGCATACCATGGCCGAGCAGCACTCGAATAAAGGAGTTTTCGTATATTTCTGGAGAGAATTCTGACAGGATTATGTCATAAGCAGGTTTCTTTTTTATTTCTGTCTCATTCCTATTGCTTTGGCAATTGTGAAATTGCGCGAAAAAGATGGCTTGTCAGTGGCAGCTGCCGCCAGCAGCGAGTAGATTAAAAAATAGCAAAACGCGAGAGTTCGAGATCTGTAGCGGGCAGAAATAACAGTCGAGAAACGATAGACGGCAGCGCTCTTTTCCCCGAGTAGCCATTGGACATTGACACAACGCCACTGCACTCCTTTGGGCTACAGGTGCACAATGCGGCTTTTCCGTATTCCAGCTCGAGGCGCTTACATGGTTGTGACATCGCATCATTTGCATATTTCCTGCTGAGAGTTGCGCTTATGTCATGCATACGCAGCTAGTGTCCCAGCAATCGCCCTGCAGCTATTCCCCCCACTCTTCTCCTGCTTCATCGGCTGCCGCATGACCAAGTCCCAAGTCCCTCCCCCCGCAGACCATCTATTGTCAATCAGGGCGCTGCTCTACGCGTGTTCTCATCTCTCGGCTCTTTGGCTATGTAATTTATCTGCTTTATCCGAGATGCGACCTAAAATGGGCAAACCACACAATTTGGGACAGGGACAAAGGATATGGGGAAATTAAGCTAATTTAACATGCCGCCCCCCTCCCAATATGCTCCACCAAATACAGTTGATGAACATGCGTTGGTGTTTTCAAACTTTGAAATTGTAGTCTGCAAAGCGTACAGTAAATTAAATTGTCAGGAAAATTGTTGAACATCCAAATCCGTTATTTTTCATTTAATTTTCAGTCCAACAAATAGATAAAAGAATTCGACATTTCTGCTGCATAGCAACTACAGCCTACATACATATTACATGCCATTTTACGAAGCTTGAAGCGAAGACATGAACCCTGCTGCATCACTCTTTACACAACAGAGGGCGCTAAAACGGGAACCAAGAGCCATTCCAGTTAATTTTTGAAAATTCGGCCTGCATTTTAAACAACTTTTTAACTTTTTCTTTAAAAGGGAACGGAGAACTGTTAAAATTTCAAACTAAATTTAAATGTATAACATCTGAAAATATCAAATAGCACAGTTTCTTCTGCACTACAAACGAACTGAAGCGGGAGCCTCTCGACAGCTGTAACTGCCACGCGCTCACGTTTACCCTCTCTGGTGGCTCTTGATGGTACTCGCTCACGCTCTCCGCACATTTCTTGGCTTAAACGTGTTTTAGCCACTCTGCTCTTGCTCTGTTGGCTCTGTCTCTGTCTTTGGCTGGCTTTCGGTGGGGCTTCCACCAAGTCATTCTTCAGTTTGATTCGAAACAGTTTGGTTGTTGCCGCCGGTTGCTCTTTGGTTTTGGCACAGTGAATGTCGTTCGATTGCCACCAAAAACGATATCGTCAAGTCGGTGATTTGTAAGTGCCTCTCCCTCCCTCCCTCTCTGAATCGGTATCCGTCTGTCTCTGTCTCTGTGCCGCTGATCGGAGCAAGTGCGTCGATCGGGTTCGTTGCGTCGATTACGTTGCGGGATTTTCGTTTGTCATTTACGTATGCAAAGCGCGTAATTTTACATTACCGTTGTTGATTCGGGCGTCATAAAAAGTGACCGCGTCTCCGTGTCCGCCTCCCTGCCAGCCCCTGGTGACCCCACTCCTTTTCTGGAGCTGAAAATTTCACTTTGCATGGACTATCGCTTGTGTGGTCCCACTGTGCCGGTGGTGCACGGTGCACTGCACTCGTTTCTCCAATCCACAGCCATTGAAATACCCATCCATCTACATACTCGTAGTTATAGCATTGAGATTCTTGTGTAAAATGTACAATATGTTGCCTGGCCTCAGCCATTAAGTAGAAACTTCCATAAAATGCATAGGAATTGTGCATGGGGCAAAGAAGCCCCTCAAGTTAATTAAAAGTTATTAATATTTGTATAATTAGCTAAGCCAAGGTCATTGGCGGATAAACGGCGATAGTTTCTAGAGGTAAAAGAGCAAACAGCAGAAGAGAAAAATACCAGTGACAGCCGCACAAGCAAACAAATCAAAGAAACGAAACGAAAAATCACATAAATAATTGCAAACTAACCAACAAACAAACAAAAACAAAACGAACCTCCAACCCCATATATTATATGCCCCGTGTTTATATGGCAAAGACAGATTCAAGGTGAATGCTGCCATTATTCTTTTGACAGAGTGCTCGAGAGCAACAAGTGAAAATTTATTGAGATTTTTTGCAAGTTCGCGTGCTGCTGAAAGAGTGAATCAAACAAAAAACGAAAGAAAGAAGAAAACGGTGCGAAAGCAACGCAAAATAAATTCCATTAAAAAGTACATCAATTTAAAATCAATTTTTGATGAAGAATAAATTAATGGCTAATTTGGATAAGTAGAAATTAATCAAAGAGGAATGCAGAGAGATTATATCTTTCGAATTTCAAAAAGTTGGCTTTGCTCTCAGTTGAATCTTCTCTCAATCAATGGCTTAAGAACCAAGGAGCGTTGATCTCTTTTCTTTACAATTCCATGCCATTTAAATATATACTTTTTGAACGAGTCCATTGACATTGGAGCATCATTAGGCCCCTCCATATACATATGTACAGAACTTAGCCTACTCACACAGAATTCTAGTTGTATACAGAGAGTAGAAGAAGCAAAACTGCCTTGAACCCTTTCATTTAGATCCACAAAATCATCACCTTCTTATTAATTATATGTATATGCATATATCTTAACGGTTTACGCCAAAACACAACGCTCGCAATCCAGAAAACCCGTCCGACAGCCTACCAAAAACAATTTCTCGCTCCCGACTAAATTCGCCTTTTGAGCCATCAATTAAAAAATTATACAATAACAAAATGCAAATACCGAACAACAGATAACTTAACGATAATTTACAAAAGCGCTTATAAAAAAGCTGAACAAAAAGTTACAACAACAACAAAAATATCGCAAATTACAAATAAAACACCAACATTTTGGATACATTTTTGAGTTGGACCCAAAAAACAATGTCTGGCAAAGTGAAGCGACCGGCGCTGTCAGCGTCGGCGCCCCTCTGCCATAGCTTCTTCGAATACATCCCCGGCGGCACCATCATCTGGCTATGCCTCTGTCTGGTCTTCTGCAGCGTCAGCGCACAAGGTGAGTGGGTTTTACATATGGTGTTTAATAAATAAATACCCTTGCTCAGGGTAACACGGCTATTCGTGTACGCCTGCACCCCAGGAATGCAAATAATTGTATAAATTATCCAAACAAAAAATATAAAACTGGCACGGCAAAATAGAAATGAACAAGCGTACGTACCTATTCGACCCTTGCTTTAAAGTATATTTTAGTCATATTCCCTGAACTCAGTTGTTATTGTTGCTGCTGCTTATGTCGTTGTCGTGTTATCTCTGCTCATATTTTGTGTGTATTTTCATTAAGAGCAGCAGAAAAAAACCGAAAAAGATACCCAAACTCCGGCTGATTCACCCCATGCTAATTTATCTCGATGGCGTCGACGGCATTTTCGAGCCGTGAGATTTCTTTCGTGGGGTCTCTTACAAGCCGGAACTACCCGAAGGTCTCTTCTGATCAAAAGAACAGTCACAATAAATGCGTGTTCAAAATTAAAAACTCGAAATTAAAATTAAACTGTTGTGAATTGTCACGAAAAAAAGAGTCGAAACGGATGCGCTTAGTAATAAAGCCCAAAGAAAAATAAAAACACGTACCAGACTTCCGTGCAGCTAACAAAAAAGTCGCTGAGATCTAAAGATTGTCAACATTATCTCTGCCATGGGGCTCCCGTTTTTAGTTGTTTTCGAATCTGTTGTTTTGTAGTAGAGATCTGCGAATTAAACAGAAAATGTCACCCCAGTTTTTTTTTATAGATAGACCACAAAATTACGATTCCAACGATGGCGGGTGCCTTCCTAATCTGCTCGAAGATATGCTCGTCCCAGATATTTTCGCTTATGTTGAGTTCTGGCAGAGATCTGCAAAAAGTAAGGAAAATGTGAATAAATTTGCAGTTTGACTAGAGTTAAAACAAATACGGGTATGGATTTAATCAACCGTCAAAAGCAAATTTGGTTGCACCTGCAGTTGATTTCGACTTCTTACCCTCAAGGGGGTATGCAATTTTTATGGCTTAGCCTTTTTTGGCAACCTTTTTGTGGCTCTTTGCAGTACACTACATCTGCTGCCTTGGGATGACTCTGTCGATTTTTAACACAAGCATTAAAATGTCAGTGAAATGTCAATAAACAATATGCCGGCCCGAAAGCAGGATAAATATTGGGTTAACTGTTTACCATTGAGAGGAAATCGTGTTCTTAAAAAGAGTTCTTAACCCAGATTTGCGGTTGTTTCGGCGAACGAAAGGACAGTAAACATTGGCTTTAACTGTTGTTCTGATGAAAGAACCACACACAGTTTGAGAGTAATTGGATAAAGTGGTTCACTCATCCACACATATGTACATATGTAATTGCTTTAGCATTTTGTATGTATGTATATAAAAAAAACACACCGCATGGCGGCTTTATTTTAATTAATCAGCAACAAAAAGCAAGCAAACACATTAAACTTTACATAAGACATTGGATATATGTACATATGTATGTATGCACAACCTTTCTGCTGCACAACGAATTCAAAGGCCGAGACCAAATTTTGTTTAGGTCTCAAAACAACAAAAGCAGCGTTAATAAAATTAACTTGCTAATGAAGCGATGATCACACCGCACACCTCGAACATACACACATCTATACATATGTATGTATGTACTTTCATATCTATAATATATTGGGCAGAAATCAAGAAATACAACTTATGGAAATCTACTATTCACATTTTTAAATGCAGAAACATTTTTGTCGCGCGTGTTAAAGCCAAAAAGCACTAAAAACAACAAAAGCAGAGAGGGGAAACAAGTTTTTTCCAGCGTTCCACTATGCAAATCAAACAGTAAATACTAAATACCAGCACTCACAAATAACACACACTCGCATATCTATGCACGGCGGCACATGTGAATTGGTATTGGTATTTTGTAATAGGTTGAGATGAAAACGAAAGTGAAGCCGCCACCTGACTTTGAATGATCTCGCGCCGAAAGCACACAGCCCTTTCCATGTTGCCCTTGTTATCGTCAATTTCACTTTTGTTTTCTGCCTCTGCATCTGCCCCTTATTTCCTCTTTCTTTTCAGTAATCGTGTTGTTAACTTTATCGAATTAAAATAAGTTTGTTTGGGGTGGTGGTAAAACAGTGATGTGACTATCGGTGCATTGGTGTTCTTTTCCATTTTTATATGTGACGTGCATATCGATATTTAGAGTTTTGCGAAAGAACGCGAAAAGAATGAAAGTGAATGTTGAAGAAGTTCTAACGTACTTTTTCTATTCAATTTCCTATTTTGTTTTAGTTTATATTATACATTTTTTGGGAATTGTCTTCATCGCTTTTTTCCCCACAAACTTCGAAGTCTTCCATCTCTATTTATCTGCCCCTTCAACAACACATGACTCGCGCGACTGTATATGCGTGTTTAGTGTGTGTGTGAAGAAAGTGAAATGAAAAAGAAATGTGTACATGTAAAGTTGTGGCACAAGTTTTGCGCTCGAATTCATAACTGTAGCTGTAACAGGTTGGCTGACTCGCTGACGACAACTTCACAAACTCCAAACTCTTTTTGTCACAGTACCTCAAGTTTCTCGACCGGTGACCAGACGACGCATTTGGCGGCTGGATCTGTTGTCTGGACCGGCACGGCAGCAAACCCTATTGAAATAAATAATTGCTTTACATACATACTATCTATGCAAATTGGCATTTGCTGCATGCCATAATGATGAGAAACTTGCCAATGACATTGTTGTCCAACTCGAGCTAAGCATTACTCCAGTGAAAACACACACCGCACCATTTCAATTTCAGTGGCATTAAGTGTACACGAGCCGATAGGGAAAAGTTACACATTTTCCCGATGGCCAATTAAAATATATGTATACATATGTACATACATTCGCATGTATACATAGCACAGTTATTTCCGCTCAGCTGTCCTGCACATTTTCTGAGGGGCGCACTCTAAAACGGATCGAGTAAACAAGTTTAGTACGGCAACCGAGACACAAACAAGTGCAACATCAGATCGACTGGGCTGGTTGATTTATATAATGTTCAGCTGAGTGATATATTTCCTAAATACTGCATTTGCACTGTTTCATAAATCAATTAATTAATTTTATTTTGCGCAGAAGAAAATAAACCAAGTTGGCAGTACTGATTGTTATCGAACGAGATTGTGTGATAGTATTTAAGTATATCGAAGTCCATTGAAGTTCAGAAAATCGTGAAAATATTATTTGTTTTGATAAAATGCGAAGTCCCAGAAAAAGGGCGTCCAGAACCAATCCGTTGGTTGCAAAGGAATATGTTGTGGAGGAGATCAAGGGAAAACGGTTCTATCAAGGAGAAACGGAGTATTTCGTCAAATGGGAGGGCTTCGAAGCAGAAAGCTGCACCTGGGAGCCAATGGAAAATCTTGGCAAATGTATCCACCTGCTGGCCAAGTTCGAGAACGACATCAATTTTAGGAAATTAGAAAGAAGGCTCGCTAAGACCAAAAATAGGAAAGCGCATGCTGCTCAGAGTACTGAACTGCACAATAACAGTGGCGGCACACTGACAGAGCCAGAACCAGCGCCAGAACATGTGCGAAACAATAACTGGAACAACAAATGTGTCCAACTGAGTGAATCGAGTGACGATGAATCATCGCCAGAATATGAACCAATAACACCACCGTTAGGGAGCCAACCAGGAAGTCGAAGGCCATTATCAGAATCATTTGCGTCCTCGGTCTTGTCGCCCTTGTCATCGACGTCTTGCAGCTCCAAGTCCTCAGCCACCTTTTCAAAATCAGGCTGTTCGTCTTCTCCACCCCAACCCGAACCTCAACCAGCTTTAACTACGAAGCAAACCCCATCCCAAACTCAACCAGTGCTCCCTACTCCTAATCAAAAAGAAGAGTTCGTCGACAATTTGGAGACTACAAAGAAACTGCCAAGGAACACCGATAAAAGTCGCGCCAATAACTCGCTTGAGAATGCTGAGGATTGTGTAAGAAAATGTTTGATTAGTAATTGATATTTAGAACCATTAGAAACATTTGATACCGAATCAACTTTACTTATTGAAACAGAACACCCCGGAGTCGGATAAGGAAGAGCCTTCGGGCTTAGAGCTTGGGCAAAAGCTGGAGAGAATTATGCACAGCTATCGATTTAGAGGAAATACGTATCTGATCGTAAAGTGGATGGACATCGAGGAGCCTGTATTGGTCGATATCCAGGAAATGAAACAGTTGTATAAAAAAGAAATAATTCAATATTTCCAGAAGCTTCAACGGAGCTTTGATGACATGGTGAGTTGTGTATTTGTTGTATGGATATAGTGGATGTAGTGTAGTGCCTGGCCCTGTGCCCATAACCTTAAACGCGCACTTCCGTTCAGCGCCAACTTCTCTTCATAGCTTTACAGTTCGACGCTCGCAATATTTGAGCCATGAGCCATGAAAACTTCACTTTGCCTTCGGGTCAAGATAAATGCCATCGGAAAACAAAAAGCACAAGCGAAAACGAAGCATCTCCATCCGGTCTAACTCCAAAACAACTTGTTGGAAACGTTTTCCTATCTGGCCACATGCAATACCATGGACCATAGGCCATGCACCTGTAGCTGCATCTTAGCTTCCTCATAAATCATTGATAATGCTGAGGCTGTGGCTACATGACAAATTGTTGTACAGTTAGAACATGTTACTTAGCAGATTTATGACCTGTCTCATAGAAGCATCTTCATCTGCAAGGGCTACAGCGTGCAGGGTAATGGGATAAATTCTCATAATTTACACGTGTGTACACTCACTCTCCTGTTTCTACAATTGTAGATTTCGTGCTCAAGATCAAGTTGCGAAAATTATGAGACTCTTCGGCTTGGGGTTTTTGGTTTCCATTTGGCTTATCTGTGGCATCTGTTGACAGCTGCTTCCAACGACGATGACGGCGACGCCTTCGCTTTGAACCTTTCGGCTTAGCAACTGGCGGATCGAAGCTCTCATGGCTTGTGCTCTTATCCATGTCGTGTTCGTTTGGCTAGAACAAGCCAATAACTCCCTCGCACACCGTGGGCGCTTAAGACGCTCCATGGCCCCATGGTTCATTCAACCGGGAGTGAGAGTCGCACAAACAAGTCAGAGACCCAGAATTGCGATCTGATATTGATGTGCTAAAGACAGGGCAGAGACATGTTTGTGCTGCTCTCTGTGTTGTGTGGTTTAATGGCTGTATCACATTGCTCTGTAACCTTCAATCAGGCCCCGACTAGACCCAACCTAAAGCACCCAAGTGACATGCTCACATGGAGCGAGGTGGCGGGCACACCTAGGCGGGGCATCTCATGTTGACTGGACATAGCCCGCCTGTGGCATGATCTGGCTAATGTGTCCATTTGGCTGTGGCTTGCGCCATTTCAATGCCATTTGCAAGCAGCCTGCTGCTTGCTGATTGCATATTTCAGCAGTTTACACAATTTGCTTGCATTACATCGCACATGTTATAAGCGAACTCTTTTTGCTGCATTGCCAGAATGAATGGTTGCTTAGATGCGCACTCAGATTGGCGTACATAAAAAATATGTCTGTTTTATGGCTAATTAAATGGCTTTGGCTAGACCCTGTAACTAATTTAATAGCTGCTTAAAGAGCTTACAGCTAATTTTAAGTTGTATTAAATTAATTTAAAATGTTGAGAGCAAAGGTCAGACATTCATTTGAAGCCATTAAAATCCTTAAACTATAGTTGGGGTAATTACAAAAGGGCATCATTAAGTGACAGATCGGTACGGTCTTAATTCAATCTGATTTCATCTACTACATCTTAGAATTCCTTCATACTATAGCTAAGATTTCGAATCTTCCGGGGGACCATAAGGGTATAACCTTAGTTTAGTCAGAGAGTTATTACGATCATTTGCATGCAGTTGCCTGATTTAATTCTATTGCATAATGTAATCAATTATATCTGTATTTTTACGTCCAAGGCGTGCTGGCACTCGCAGCCCAGCTATCTATTATTATTTTCCATTATTTCTGTGCTTCTACCACCTTCCTTGATTTCCATTTTCTGGGCTGCCTTCGACTTTGGCGTTCATTGATTTATGTCTGTGTTTGAATTAAGCTCCGCTGTCCGTGGCATTTCTGTAGTTTCTGATGTTGGAACTAGTTTTGCCATATGTGTGCGCCAATTTCGAGGAGTCGACTGGATAGGCAGGTGCGGCTGGGGAGATAGGAAAAGGGAAATTAGATCTGCAAAACATTTTCGTTTTGGGGTAGCTTTATTAATTGCCTTACCAAAATTATTCAAATTGCATATCAAATGTCAAATCTTCGGCAGCAACAATTTTAATTTCCTCCGCCTCAAGACACCGAAAAATTGTAAATTTCCTGATTATGAAACCTTTTGTATGCCCGTGTGTGTGTGTATACATTTTGTTTTGTATTGGCCAAAAATTTGCATTTAATTTCAGTCTTTTAGTGGGGCTTCCATTACAACAACACACAGTGGGCTGCAATGTGATAATTTTCTCGCTCGTTTGACCATTTTTGGCTGTGGATGTAATTACGCCCAAGGCAACGACAGCAACAATACTATTGCAGCCTCATTTATGACGCTTTGCATATGGTAGACAACAAATCGGTAAGAAACCAAAAATGAGTATTTCTATGTTGTGGTAGTTGTTGTAATGCAATTTGTTTAACGCTTCGTTTATTACCAAAACAGCAACGATTTGAGGTTATTTGTGTGGCAGCAGCAACAATTTTCGGGTCGCGTAGGTAGAGCAGCAACAACAATCATATTCAGCTGATCCTCTCCTCTCTCTCTCCGTTTCTTTTATTCTCTGGGTGTACCACTCTCTTTGATTTTGTTTACTGTAAATATTTGCGTTTTCCTCCTGTGCCTTTGCCTTTTCTGGTATCTGTGTCTCACTTGCGCTCACTTGTGCAAATTTACATCTGCCTCTTTCTCTCATCTTTCTGTCTCTCCATGTCCATTTTCCTGCCATTGTGTGTGTGTGTGGGTGTGACCGGCTTGGGTTATTATTTGGTTTGACAGTTTAATATATTTGGTTATTTGTTCGGTGTGCGTTTTGTTGTGGCACGAGTCACAATTTGTATTTCTCGTTGTTATCTCTTGTGTGTTGTGTGTGGTTTGTCTGCTTTGTGCCTTCGGGTTAGAGGTTATTGGAACAGCAATTATATGTGGTTACTGCTGTTGTTGTTGCAATTGCCTTGCATTTGTGTACGTATGGGAGAGAAAGGGAGACAACAATAGCTGCTGAAGATGGGGGTCGATTGCCCAACCTGTCTGGGCGATGATTAACCTGATGGCGATGTATCGGTTTACACATCGTTTGGCTTCATTACAAAAGTTGATTGATTGTTTGGATTTATATGGTTTATTTAACATGTGGTTGGCTGCTGGAAATCGTTTTATTTGAGAGCTGTGAAGACCTAATAGAGGCACTTGGACTTATCAGTACATGAATCTGTTTCTTCTCAATCAACAATTTGTTCCGGCTCAGGCTGCAAATCAAAGGAAAGCTGCCATAATAAGCAGTAAGACCTTATCAAGCTTTAGCGTTGTAACTGCCCTCGTGGCTTTGGTGTAGTAAAAGTTTATTTGGTTTCTCTGGCCCCCAAACTCATTTAGTTTCCATCTCCATTCGCCCATGCCATGTGCATCCTCAGCCGCAGGTGACCTTGCTTTGTTAATATCTGGTTTTTGTTGCTGTTGGTTTTATATGGGCATATACCACGCCCTCAGAACCCCTGCCGCCACGGGCAGTCCTCTCCGACTGCCTTTGTGTTAATTTCACGCCCGTTAAAATAATTAAATTTGCCTTTGTTTTCATTCACTTTTATGTGTGCTCTGATTTTCATTTTTAGTGTATCATTCAAATTAGTTTACTGGCTCTAAAATAAAACAAAAATGTCTGTTTTCTCATGTGATTTTTCGTTTTGTTTCTGTCTTTTTAGGTAAAGTGAAGCTTAAGCCAACCAGATGGGAACAACGAAGGAGGAGTGCGAACAAGTTCAGGGTCACATTTTTCATTTTTCTTCTTTCATATTTTTCTTATCTTATCAGAGTTTCATTGCGTGTCTGTGAAGACACTTTCACACGATATTTGTTATAAACTTATAGACTAATTGTGTTAAAACTACATTACGTTGGACGTATGGTCTTATCAAATGAATAACTATTAATCAAGCTTAAGATGAAATATCAAATTTCTGAACTGGAAGCCGTATCATGAAAGTGTTCATTTAATTTCTTTAAGCAATTTTCCAATAAATATTAACATATGACATCCGATACTTTTTGAGCATATTCACGGTCAAAAAGGCTAACGAGCGTTTTTGAAATACCACTAACCGGCGTCAGCCGTATGCCTCTCAATGTTCACTAACGTATCCAATATCCTATTCTAGCTCTAGTCAGACCATAAAAAAATAGGTGAACTTCCATTGAATTTGTGCAGAGACTTTGGCCAAATGTCAATGGGTTATAAACCAAAATTGAAACCGAAATCCCCCCCACCATACTCTTCCGGCAGAAGTGGTTGACATTTTTGTTTGACTTTTTGAATTATTTCCAGCAGCAGAGCCACACAACTGCGGCTGTGTCGGGGCGAGGGCAATTATTTTGCATTGGTATTTCTTTTGTTGCTCTTTCGGGGTGTGTTCTGTTCCAATGGAATGAGGCGGAGACTTCATTGATACAAATGAGCTTTATATGTAAATTTCGGCAAATTTCCACTGCATTCTTTCGATCCAAGTTGCGGTTGGTCCGGGACTGAGACAAGTGGGCGCTGTTCAGGTGGGTGGCCACTAGGGAGTCACTTAATGACTGCATTCTTTGGTTGATGAGGTATTTTTGGCAATAGATTGTAATCATTGTTATAAACATAACTAAAATATAAGGGATAGACCTGATGCCATACCAGTGGGTTTCTTTTTTGGCTATTTTACGCGCCTACGATTTCCGCTTTTCGCCCAGCGACAAATTTACTTTTGTACAACATTTTGTCTACCTTTTGGTGCAAAATGCTTGTGGCATGACTCAGAGGCACCGTTACTGCCGATGTAGATGTCGTTGCCACGCCCCATTGGAGTGCATTGAACGCAATTACTTCTCTTTCTCGTTTCTCTCGCTTCGGACTCGATTTGCCATACACATTTTCGCTTTTCTTTTTAATTGGGATCTCCTGTGTTTTACAGCCTTTCCACAACGTTTTCTTTGTTTGTACGTTTTTTCTGCATTTGTTTTTCGTTTCACTTTCGCGTCGCCAACTTGTTGCAACTGTGCCACTCGGGCCACAGCCACTCGGCTGCCAGTTGGGCGTTGCTTTTACGGCTTCCCACTCTGCCGCGCGGCCAGCCACCTCCAGCTAGCTGTGGGGGTCCGAGTCGTTGGTCATTTGGTTGCCCGAGCACTCGAGCAGAACTCGAGCTGCAAATTGTGGATTTCTTTTGACAATTTTGGACAGTCGGTAGCATAAATCATAAACCGAAATTCAACATTTTTGGCACAAAAAGAAAGTGTTGACATGAAGCGGAAACGTTGCTTAAAGGTTGTGCCTAAGTTCAGGCAGTTGCCATTCGCCAAAGGGGCGAAAGTCGCCGTAAATTGAGTGATTAACACAACAAATTGGAGGGTGGAGGGGAATGATGTTAAAACATATTTAAAAGGTTGCATAACAGATGGTCGAGAAATGTGATCGTTGGAAAAAGCAGCAGCTCTGACGTTTCTCGATCGATCTCCTCTCCTGCGTTTTCCCACAGTTTCTGATGCACTGGACTGGTTTTTCCCCGCACCAAAATATCACTCAATTAACCCACTAATAACCAATCAAATGCAGCTCTGACCCCGGCATAATATGCCAGTGATTCATGCCGCCAACTGACCCGACTGACTCAGACACCCCAAATACAAGATGTAGATATTGTAAGAGTGCGACGTATGGCATAGCCATACCCATAACCATGGACATATGAATGGGACAGCCACCCGCTGGGTTGTGGCCACTACGAACAAGCACAAATTTACGATACTTACGAACGTATGTGTATGGGCCATGCACGGCCGATGGCTCGAACTCGAACCTCTGTCCGAGAGTACCAAGAGCCAGTAACAGTGACATAACAAGCGCAAATATTTTCAATAAAGAAACCAAGCACCAGGTGTGTGTGTGTGTTGTTTTGTTGTGTTCATTCTTTGATGGCTGGAACGGAACGGAACGGAACCAAATTGAACTCTGTGCCCTACCCAGAGCCAATCGAGTGTGGCCAAATTGTTCAAATCCTTGACCCATTTGTTTGACTTGTCTCTCTCTTTTATTTTGTTGCTTTGGCCATTTCGGCATTTCCGTTTCTCGTGTTGCAAAGTGCAAAATAAAACTCCGATGTATGTACACTCGACTCCATTCAATTTGCAGTCATTAAAGCTTTTCGGCCCCATAATTATAAACATAAAATGACGCCCCAAAAAGGGGTAACATTTTTGCTTGCGGTCTGAGGTTTTAGTTAGTTTTTTGTGTCACTTTTCTGCTGTTTGAGTGCAGGGAGGTTAAGCTGTCCATTAACCCATTTTGGTTAGCGAAATACGAAAGGAAGGAAATCGCAGGGGATAGGAGAGTTTACAGAATACGAGGGACACGTGAAAAGGTCGTCTGCCATTCGCGGATATGCCAAGAAGAGCAAACAAGTTTTTGCCCTAAGTCATTCGTTTCCTCTGTGGCCTTTTGTGACTGGGAAATTATGGGCCAGCTACTGCAAGCGTAGTGGAAACCTGTAATAAAAATATGCAGTTATCCTTGAGATTACGGTTCATCAGAGCGGCTCTATAAATATACACAGGCCTCTCTTTCGCTCTCTCCCTCTCTCCATTTAAGCAGGAAATGATGCCCAAAAGCAGCAACAGCAACCAACTCTGGCCATAAACACAATCTGTTGCCAATTTGGCAGCAACAACAAACACGATAAAGTCGAGGCCTGAAAGCCTGAGAGAGCCACAAGAAAATAAAGAAGAAGCCACCGCTTAACGAGCGGCATGCATAAAATATGCCCTTTGTGCGTTGTCCCGACATTGCATGGCTGATCTCCTGATTGCAGTCGGTTGTCGGTCCCAAGAAGCAGAGTTTTTAATAAAAATGTCAAGTCTTATGAGTGGGCAATGAATGGCCCGGGCCAGTCGGCCAGGCGGGAAGAGCAACGGGTTGGTATGTTGCAATGAGTTGGCAATTCCTTGGCCCATACGGATATGCCACTTACTAAAGGACAGACTACAGCTAAGCTAAACTGTTGGGCTGTTGGAGTGCTGTACAATTTAGCTTTGGTTTCTGGTAATTGATCGATTTGCACCCACAGCAGAATCCACCCACACCCAACCATTAATGCAATCCAATCAGTCATCAGCTTTGGAGGCGACTGTCATATTCGCATAAGTAGTCCTCGCATCAAGGCAATTCAGCCGCCGCCATCAGTGGATCTGATCTGCCAGAGAAGTGCATCATTTGGCAAAAGAATTCATTTGAGAGTGTGTTGGCGGAGACGGAGGAGCTCCAGCTCCACTTCAAAAGCCATTCAACTCTTGATTGACGGTGGCAGAGTTGGGATTGGGCACCGCACTCTCAAGTGTTATTTGCTTTAATAACCACTCGAGAATTGCATATCTTCGCGCCGTCGCGTCGCAGTGGTGTTGGTGCGTTGGGTTCGTTGAACCTTTATTTCCATTTCCATTTTGTGGAAGCCAATTCCTATCCACTTAGCGGGTTCAGAGTGCCCAAAGCACTTGGCGACTCATTGAGCTTTGAGTATGGCTTCTATGCGTATGATATCGGACCCACCACGCCCAGTCACGCCCAATTTCGAGTGGCACCCGCAGCCAAATGAAGCCTCAAGCCCCCAAAGAATATGCAAATGCGGTGGGAGAACAAAAGCAAATCAAAGTAAGCCTCAGAGAGGGAATCAAAGAAACCTTGCTGTTCACACAATAAATCACGACAACCAGAACAGCCTTATCCATAGCCATAGCTATAGCTCTGTCTGTGGGTAAAGCCATTGTAATTACAACAGCAACAGCAACAGCAAAGGCAACGGCAACGGCAACAATAGACATCTGGCCGACAAAACTAAGCCAAGATTGTTGACCATTTTGTCGCTGAAGCGTGCGGCAAAAGGTTTGTTTTTTCTTCTTGTCTTTTGTTGGGTTATTCTTTATATTCGCCAGAGGCAAAGAAAACAAACAGAAACAAACAAAAAGTAGGCGAAATTATGCGGAAAATTACAATGCATAGAAATTTTGTGACGTTGAGCGACAGATCTAATCGTGAATTATGTATTTCTGGGTGTAGGCTAAGGTTGCATAATCTGTCTCTTGAAAGAGAAATACAAACAGAGAAAGAGGGACTATTGATGGCATCGGTTATGCAAGATTAACGAAATTACTTTAAATTGATTTCACATTTGCCATTCTCCAACCATCGCTGGAGTAGCCCCAACAATCGCAGAATACCCGAAATACTTAGCTATCGATTACACTATCGATGCTTTTGCCATGCGAGTGTGCCGATAGTGTAAATAAATCTTTAACGCGTATTACGGCTCTGCAAACACTTTTCACACGTCTCGATCTGTTTATCCAAGCAACTAAGCCCCATTCAATTCATTTCAAATCGCGCAGTTCGTGGCATAACTCTGATTTAATGCAATAGACCAGACGCAAGGCAAGGCAAGGCTGGGCTAGAAACGTACTCAGTCAGAGACACAAAAACAATCCCTTTTACATAGCCATGCCAAACCGAATTCTCGTTGCCACTTGCATTTTAATGGAAACAACTCACTTAGTATGGCTGTTGCGCCACTGGGAGGTACGGTAGGTACCGCACCGCTCCACAGTAGGTTGGAGTAGACACAGTAACAGTAAGAGAAACAGAAACAGAAACAGATGCATAGATGCAGCCCAGATATAGAGCTGGAGATAGGGTGAGGAAAAAATACAGTTCTATTACTTAATATGCCACACTAATGCGAACAATGGCAGCACGACATCGTGGCCCAAGAAAAACCAACTCGGAGGAAAAAAAATAACCCCAAAAGACCAGAAACCAAAGACTCAGGCCAGAC